TCCAAAAAGGCTCAATTGGCAAGAGTCCATCTTTAACTAGCACTGTAACATAGATACAGAAGCGATGCCTCTGAGAGCGGTGGGGAGAGCATCTGAGCAAATTCCATTCTTTTCCACTGTTGTCTCCAGATCATGTTAAGGAGGCTGCTGCCTTTAGCGAGCTGACCTACTTAGACCTGTCAGCCTGGGTGGAGAGGATAGAGGGAGGATGGAGGGAGGATGGGGGAGGATGGAGGGGGATCCGGGGGATGAAACAGCCAAGAAGAGGGTTGATTGCTAATAGCGCCCCCCACACACAGGGCTGAGAGATGGAGATGGAGCCCTGGATATCTCTGGCTCAGGGTTGGCTGGGTGGCTGCAGCTGGATAGGATAGATGAGATAGAGATGAATAATTTAACGAGACATTAAAATGGAATGGGAATGGTAAGTCATGTATGAGAAAAAGCAGAAGACTGAAGTTTAGTGTCTTATCAGTGACTTTGAAATAGAACTTCCACAAAGCTCACTCTGCAGTAGATACTGTAATGGGTCGTTCAACCAAATCGGTGCCTTTTCAGAAGTAACTTGGTCCCCAAAAAACACATGTTCAACTTCATAAAAAACATGTTTTCCCATCTCAAGAGGTTAAATTTACTATACAATTACTATAGTAAGTGCCTATTGAATGTTTAATAAAGTAACATGGTTGACCATAACAGGGTTGGTGATTTCATCTTAAATCAGCCATGAATCCCCTTGTGACAGGGGGAATGGAAGCTTGTTGTGTGTAACAGGGAGTGGCAATTAAATGCAAGCTTCACAAAAAAAAAGAGGAAATTGTTAAAACATATCGAGCCTGTGTAAAGTATCTATGGGTAACAGGGTTGATGTATTATGCTCGACACACTCAGTTTCTTTCCAGAAATGACTTTGTCAAAGCAACAAAATAACGAGGGCTTTACAAGGTGAAACTTTGAGACAATTTGTGGTTAAGTGGGATACATCTTCCTAGAGGTGACACAGGGTTGACGGAAGGACATGTCAAAATGCTGCATTTTGGCACTTTAGCAAGTCTTTATTCATATTAAAAATCGGATTGATGGAATTCTCCATGTGGCCTATATTAAAGGGCACTTCATTTAATATAACAGGCTTTTAAAATTAAATATTGGTGTACAAATTCTACATTTCATGGAATGACCCTAATACGAGCTTGGATTACGCAGTGATCTAGTAAAACAGATAGAACATATCATATGCAATCCAAATGCCCTTTCAAATGTGATCTTACATAGTTCCACTACTGTTTAGGCAGATGCTCAATATACTGTAGCCAACATTGCTCAAGAGTGTGTGTGTGTGTCTGTATGTGTGTGTGTGTGTGCATGTGTAGTAGGCTTGGGAGATATACCGTTAATACCATATACCAGGGTATTTCGAAATACCTGCGGTGTGATTTTCAATAGAGTTTTTTTTTTTTTGGGGGGGGGGTACCCTCACCTCGTGTGGCTGTGGGGTTGCATGCTACGCCACTGCGTATAACTATAAGCTAAGTATAACCACTAGCACAGTCAGTGTAGTCAGCTCAGCTATCCCCATTGAGACCGTGTCTGTGCCTCGATCTAGGTTGAGCAAAACTAAACATGGCTGTGTTCGCCTTAGAAATAAAGACCTCCTCCATTCCTGTCATTATTGAAAGAGATTGTGATGTCTCACATCTCAAAATAGGGCTACTTAATGTTAGATCCCTCACTTCCAAGGCAGTCATAGTCAATGAACTAATCACTGATCATAATCTTGATGTGATTGGCCTGACTGAAACATGGCTCAAGCCTGATCATTTTATTGTTTTAATGAGGCATCTTCTCCTGGTTACACTAGTGACCATATCCCCCGCGCATCCCGCAAAGGCGGAGGTGTTGCTAACATTTCCGACAGCAAATTTCAATTTACAAAAACAAAAATTACTGCATTTTCGTCTTTTGAGCTTCCAGTCATGAAATCTATGCAGCCTACGCAATCACTCATTATAGCTACTGTTTACAGGCCTCCTGGGCCGTTTACAGCGTTCCTCACTGAGCTCTGAATTCCTATCGGACCTTGTAGTCATGGCAGATAATATTCTAATTTTTGGTGACTTTAATATTCACATGGAAAAGTCCACAGACCCACTCCAAAAGGCTTTCGGAGCCATCATCGGTTTTGTCCAAAATGTCTCCAGACCTACTCATTGCCCCAGTCATACCATAGATCTAGTTTCCTGGACTATCGGACCACCATCTCATTATGTTTGCAATCTCAACAAATAATCTGCTCAGACCCCAACCAAGGATCATCAAAAGCAATGCTATAAATCCTCGGACAACCCAAAGATTCCTAGATGCCCTTCCAGACTCCCTCCACCTACCCTAGGACGTCATAGTACAAAAATCGGTTATCCACCTAACTGAGGATCTAAATGTAACCTTGCGTAATACCCTAGATGCAGTCGCACCCCTAAAAACAAAAAACATTTGTCACATGAAATTTGCTCCCTGGTATACAGAACATACCCGAGCCCTGAAGCAAGCTTCCAGAAAATTGGAACGGAAATGGCGCTCCACCAAACGGAAGTCTTCCGACTAGCTTGGAAAGACAGTACTGTGCATTACTGAAGAGCCCTCATTGCTGCTCAATCATCCTATTTTTCCAACCTAATTAAGGAGAATAAGAACAATCCAACATTTCTATTTGATACTGTCGCAAAGCTAACTAAAAAGCAGCATTCAACAAGAGAGAATGGCTTTCACTTCAGCAGTGATGAATTCATCAACTTCTTCGATGAAAAGATCATGATCATTAGAAAGCAAAGTACGGACTCCTCTTTGAATCTGCTGTGGGTGAGTTGAAAATTGAATGGTCCTGGGATAGAAATGTATAAAGTTGACATTTCATCATATAATCCACCTTTTACATCGTACATTGGCAATGTATTTTATTAGTAACTACTGTTGTTGGTTTGGCATCAAATAAGCCAGTCTTTATATGTTGTTTGCCGAATCGCCGTTTTCCATGTGTGTTTTATGCTAGCTAAAGTTCCCTCTTTGAAGTTAGTAGCTAACTCGAAAATGCATCTTCTTTAGGAGTGCAATTTATATCCCGTCGACTACTGATCATTCATCCATACTGTGTGTGTCCCATCATTGCAGCTTTGGAAATAAATGAACTATCCATCTATTGCTCCTTCCTGTGTTGACTCACGGACTTGAGGGACGGGACCAGAAAGGTCACACTAACTTGCTAGATAAGTGGCTAAATTTCAAGATCAAGCTTCTTGGTTATAGCAGAGACATTCAATCACCTCCTGGATCAAGATCCCTGTTGTCTAAATTGTTTAGTTTTTTCGAAATAGAGGCCTTTGTGTGCGCTTCCGGCAATACTGTATACCCCGGTATGGTACAGAAACGGTATGGCGGTATGAAAATCTGGATACCGCCCAACCCTAGTGTGTGGTCAAGATGCCACTGCCTGGCCAATACCATTAGTCCCTGAACTTTTCCCTCGATAGGGACAAAAAAAAAATCCCGGTGCTCATCAGATTTCTGCCTAGTGTAGTCACAGAAGTTGCCGGAAGCTCAGAGAATAGAAAGCAGTCCTCTTCCTCTATAAATAGCAACCACTGCAGCTCTGGAGTGAGGAAGAGAGGAGAGCTAGTGAGCGTGTGCATTAGTACACTGCCTGGGTTTCAACTGGAAGGGAATGAACGTTGGAAATAAACAACAACTAGCCTCCTTCTACCACACCCCCAACTAAGACAGCCCTTTCCAACTGGAATGAAGGTTGAAGAAAACCAAACAACTAGCATTATCTTACACCCCTATGGCTAACTACTAACAATTGTAGTAGTAGGTTCATTCAGCCTCTCAGGAAGAAAGTCAGAATGGCAAATCTACAGCATAGACTTATATTATGAGGTAGAAATGTAGATTACTACCACAGGCACTTCAGTAGATGGCATTAGGTAATAGCATGCTGCTGGAGGGGACAGTGACTGTGTGTGTGTGTGTGTGTGTGTGTGTGTGTGTGTGTGTGTGTGTCCTAAGGCATGGTATAACCGTGTAGGATCAGTGAGGGTAGGGATTTTAACACTTCCTCTCACAATTTCCTCTTCTAATGCCAGTCCTGGTTTTCTCCACTGTGGTCTGATCAACACTTGGTGTGAGTCCTCTATTGTACCTACAACCATGGAAACAGGTGTGCGACAAAGTGTGACTCAGTCAGTGATCATCACACCCCCATCATGTGTATTGGAATGTGATTTACAGCCGTGTTGCTCAATCTCCGGTCTGGCCATCTATCAACCGGATATCTATCGCTCCTTTCTCTCTGTCTCTCTACAGTATTTATCTTCAGACCAACACATGGTAGATTGTCAGATGCTACTGATGCCACTGCCACAAAAAAAAAAAAAGACAGAATTGATATTACATCATTCAAAACAACATGTTCATAATTGTGCTACATCACTCAGATCGCATCTTACCTAAATAGAAGGGATAATAGATAAAGGACTCCAAAAGTATTAGGATTTTTCTTTATTCACCGTTATACGTGGGTGCAGATTTCCAAATGCAACTACAGTACAGACCAGTCTTTTAGACCATATTTAACAACAGTGACTGTCGAGTAACAGTCAGAGGATGGTGACATCATAGCAAAAGAATGAATAGAATGTCATTCTATTTCTATGGGTGGAATAGTCAGAGGCCCATGTGCTGGCCCATTGGTTCTTTGGTGTTCTGTGTGTATCACTAGCCTAGTCCAGATCAGTTTGTGCAGTCTTTCCAACTCCTAAGGTCATTGTCAACAAAATGATCTGGGACCAGGCTACAGTATCACTGGTGTCCTGGCTCTTCTTGGCTGTGTTACTGTCTCTAAACAGAGAGAAAGAGAGTGAAAGAGAGAGATGCTGCAAGCGCAGAACGATGATGCAGACAGACAGACAGACAGACAGACAGACAGACAGACAGACAGACAGACAGACAGACAGACAGACAGACAGACAACAGCAGGGCTGCGGTCACTGTTTGCAAATCTAATAGCGTTCAGTGCCTAGCAAATAGGAATGAGGAGGGTGTGGGTGTAACTGGTTGTTGTCGTTGTTGTTGCGTGATTCAAATGCAGATAGTAATTACCGCAGTGTGAGATAGAGCAGGCATGTGGCGTTAGTGTGAGCACACGTGAAACGTATAACGTTATCGAGACATTCCTGTAACTATACGGTAGGTGTGCAATTATCACAGTTTCGCCTACCCTCCCTCTGTCTGTCTAACCATTTCATCTGTGTCTACTGTGTGTGTGTTCGTGTGAGTGTGTGTAGGTTTGTGTGTGGAGTTTCTTCACTCCTCTTCCTCCTCCTCATGACGCTCATCGCGATGGTGCCCATTGCCACTTCCCTTCGTCATGTCGTAGGGCTTGGTCTTGCTGCTGCCCATGGTGACGGGGATGGAGATCTCTGCAGCCTTGATGGCCTGCCTGTTCAGAGGAGTCTCCACGGTCAGCACTCCCTCAGGAGACAAGGTGGACGTCACCTTCTCAGCGTCGGCCATAGGGGGCAGTCTGGAGCAGGGAGGAAAGGAAACACCACGGTCAGGCTACTGTACAGTACATAAATACTTTACTGAGGCAGACAGTGCTTTTATCTCGCAATTTACAGTATTTTTTATGTAATTTGATATCAATTATATTCAAAATCACTGGTGTATAAATTCAGCTTCAGCACTAGGGGGCAGTCTGGAGCAGGGAGGAGAGAGAGCAGCACAGTCAGGTTACTGTACAAGACCGTATACGCTGGAAAGCTGTTATCGATGGCTTCAGCTCCAGGAGGAGTATGAGGCCAAAGCAAGTAAGAAAGGCTTCTATTCTATAAAATACTTTACTGAGACATCTTCATTTTCTTTCAATGTAATTGGATAGAACCTGAAGCTTTCCAGCCTGCCGGTGAGGCAGTGTTGATTGTCAGAGACATGGTATGTGTAGTGGCCCATGGATGGCGACAGAGACCCATGGAGCTCAGCTCTCAGGGAGGATGGCTGGCTGTACTATACAAACACAGTCAGTCGCCGCCGGTGTTGCTTTGCTCAGCCTTCCGGTACACTCAACCCTCTGCAGGCTTGACCAATCAACCAAAATAGGCTCACAGGACCAGACCAATGATAACAGAACCACTGGAGTCTGGACTAATCCTGGAGCATGCAGAATATGCAGAATATGACGGAAAGCTGCCATGAAGTAGCATAACCAACCAATTTCTATGCAACTGACAAAAGTAGCAGAAGGTTTAGGAATAGCTTTGAAATAGCTTTAAACAACCCTCAAGTGAAAATAGATTTTTGTTATTGACGAAATCAACATTGAAACAAATGGGAGAGACATTATTTTGGCCAGTCATTGACAGAGACACAAATGTTTTATGATGCCTATTTCAGCATGGTGGCAAAATTGTTACGACGGGTTATGGAACAATGTGTTATTAATTTGTTGCACAGTCTGCCAGGTTCGTTGATAGGAGTGTCACTGTGAGTTGTATAATCAATGGCGTTGTGTTACTTACGTGTATTTCCTAGTGAAGCATCTGGACACAAATCCATGCTCATCCTTCCTTTCCTCATGCTTGCCTGTGGACACAGAACACACACGGGTCAGTCTAGCCCTGTCTCACACTACTGGGGACTGCAGTCACTTCATGTGCCATGACCACTGTGTATAAATGTTATTTTGTGCAAAAACACACGCTATCTCAGAGAACTCGATGTGTTGCTGTTGCCTCTCTGTCTGAAAGCTTCCTTGATACTTCATCACTATCAAGGGAGCTTTTTTTTTTTTTTAGGAGAACCATCTGTTCTGTTGGACAAGGGGCTGAGAATAGATGTCATGTCCCCGTGCCTTTCCTCCTGCTTGGTGTCTGTACTGTACATGCATGTCCCCTTTGACACGTTCCCTAGCATGTTACATGTGTGATGTACACTCAGTAGCCAGTTTATTAGGTACACCAGCTAGTACTGGGTCGGACCCCACTTTGCATCCAGAACAGGCAGAATTCTTTGGGGTATTGATTCTACAAGGTGTCAGAAATGTTCCATAGGGATGTTGGTCCATGCTGACACGATGGTTTCACGCAGCTGCTCCAGATTGGACGGCGGTACATTCATGATGCGAACAGCCCGTTCCATCTCATCCCAAAGATGCTCTATTGGGTTTGGTCAGCAACAATGTTCAGATACGGTGTGGCATTCAACCGTTGCTCAATTGGTATCAAGGGACCTAACGTATGCCAGAAAAACATTCCCCACACCAGTACACAACCACCACCAGCCTGTACTGTTGACACCAGGCAGTATGGGTCCATGGACTCATGCTGCTTAAGCCAAATCCTGAGTCTGCCATTAGCATGACACAACAGGAACCGGGATCCGTTGGACCAGGCAACGTTTTTCCCCTCCTCAATTGTCCAGTGTTGGTGATGGCGTGCCCACTGGAGCTGCTTCTTCTTGTTTTTAGCTGATAGGAGTGGAACCCGATGTGGTCGTCTGCTGCAATAGCCCATCCGTGACAAGGATTGAGTTGTGCGTTCCTTGATACCATTCTGCACACCACTGTTGTATTGCGTCTCTTAGCTTGCACGATTCTTGCCATTCTCCTTCGACCTCTCTCATCAACGAGCTGTTTTCGCCCACAGGACTGCCGCTGACTGGATGTTTTTTGTTTGTCGTACCATTCTCTGTAAACCCTAGACACTGACGTGCGTGAAAAGCCCAGGAGGGCGGCCGTTTTCCGGCGTGCCTGGCACCGACGATCATACCACACTCAAAGTCGCTAAGGTCACTTGTTTTGCCCATTCTAACGTTCAATGAACAGTAACTGAATGCCTCGATGCCCGTCTGCCTGCTTCATATAGCAAGCCACAGCCACTTGACTCACTGTCTGTAGGAGCGATCCATTTTCGTGAACGGTGTACCTAATAAACTGTCCACTGAGTGTATGTGCCAACTGGTTTATATCTCTATGTCTCTCACCAGGTCCCTACAAATACACTTGCCAGGCCTGAAATACTGACAGCATATCGGTTTGTTATGATTATGTTATGACAACAGCTGAGCTGATAATAGGAGTTTATGCCAAAGGGACCTGTCCCTTTTCCTGCAGGACTACAACACTGGGGAGAGGGTGTGAAAGGGCCTTTAACCAGGCATTAACACTAATATACAGCCACACCATTATCTCAGCTTTGATAGGGAACATGAGAAGCATGCAAGTGTTATAAGCCTCTATACAAGGATGCAGTGTTCATTCACAGTGTCAGAGCTGTGTTGATCATAACTGTCTGCCACCAGAGGAGGAAAGAAGAAGAATACGCTCTGGAACTGGCCCAGCAGCCCATTTAAAGTAGCAGATCAGAGACACAGCGAGATTGAGTCATGGATAAATATCCTCCTCTCTCTCTCTCTGTGAGTGGAGATGGTACTAGAAGGGGGCAGAGACAGAGAGAGGGTCTGGGTTCTCGATGATATCATTAACTATTCTCTGACATTCTTAATACAGGTCCTTGGAACTAGTTTCTGTTCCTGACTAACCAACAAGTAAGTAAGGGCAGATATTCAATGTCAAGATGAAAAAGTGTTGTTTTAAGTCCAATCTACAGTTTGTACACCTTAACATAAAATACAGGGTCCTTATTACATTTTAGTCATTTAGCAGAGCGACTTACAGGAGCAATTAGGGTTAAGTACCTTGCTCAAGGGCACATCAACAGATTTTTCACCTAGTCGGTTCAGAGATTCAAACCAGCAACCTTTCGATTACTGGCCCAACGCTCTTAACCACTAGGCCAACTTATCGTACGTCTAATTTACAGTTAGGATATACTGCCAAGCCCCCGGTATAAAACAATGTTATTGTTGTAATAGTCCACTCCCACTAGCATATGTAACACAATAAAATGGGTCTTCTACAGTAAGTTTGGACATAGCGTTAAACCCACTTAATGTTGTTCTAATGGTCTACTCCCACTGGTGTACAGTACAATACATATCTCTGTTGTTGTAATGTGTGTAATGTCTCAGGAATCTATGGGCTCTGTTCCATTTTCCCTCCCCGTGGTCTACAGAGACCATGGCTGTGTAATATATTTACATTTTAGTCATTTAGCAGACGCTCTTATCCAGAGCGACTTACAGGAGCAATTAGGGTTAAGTGCCTTGCTCAAGGGCACATCGGCAGATGTTTCACCTAGTCAGCTCGGGGATTAGAACCAGCGACCTTTCGGTTACTGGCACAACGCGCTTAACCACTAAGCTACCTGCCGCCCCTGCCGCATCATGTTATGTGATGTTATGTAACCCAATGCACTGCTTCCCTCCACATAGAACAATCAATCAACACAGGGCTACAACAAGTGTTACTCTCACTGTCCTCCATGTCACAGCAACAACTCACTTACTATGACAAGTGGAACCCTATAGTGTGCTTAGTAGTATTTAGTGAGTGAGACATCTCATTTGCCTCATTCATCATTCATCATGTGGTCCTCTGTAGCTCAGCTGGTAGAGCACGGCGCTTATAACGCCAAGGTAGTGGGTTCGATCCCCGGGACCACCCATACACAAAAATGTATGCACGCATGACTGTAAGTCGCTTTGGATAAAAGCGTCTGCTAAATGGCATATTATTATTATTATCAGTTATTAAATACATGTGTAATATATACCAACTAAAACTCATTAGGTCCAGGTCCAGGTCGCTCTTGAAAAATAGATTTTTATCTCAACGAGACTAACCTGGTTAAATAAAGGTTAAATAAAAAATGAATAGTGATGTTAATAGATGCGAAACATAAACAAGCTCAGCTAGAAACAAGTAATACTTTATTAACTGTAATAATAGTAAGAAGAAGAAAAAAGATGTACATAAACAATTTCTGCATATTATGAAGTACATTTAATGTACTGTGCTAGCTACAAAGTTCTACTGATTCTGTCTACTGAGACAGAGAAATAGAGACAGGCAGAGAAAGAGATAGATACAGAGAAAGAGACAGATACAGAGAAAGAGGGACCCAGAGACAAAGCAAGAGCCAGAGACACACAGAGAGAGAAAGAGACAGACCGAGCCAGAGAGACAGAGGCAGCCTAATTCTGATCGTTTGACAAATCACATCAGATATTTTCAGATGATCAGATTGGTCAAACGACCAATTAGTGAAGAAAAAAAAACGGAATTGTGCTGCCTGTGTAAACGCAGCCATAGAGAGAGAATTGTGCTGCCTTAGAGAGAAAGAGACAGAAACAAAGACAGAGCCAAAGCTAGAGACAGAGCCAGAGACACACAGATATATGAGTTACTTACCAGTGATCTCTACCACGCCGTCCTTGGTCTTGACCACCAGCTCTTCAGGGGAGAAGTGGTTGACGTCCAGAGTGACCTTCCAGGCCTCCTGGGTCTGCTTGATCTCAGACATGCCAGAGCTGAGCTGGCGGGAGAGGGCGCGGGCATACGATGCTGCCCCAGCCTGGGCCATCATTGGGGCTTGGGCCATCATTGGGGCTTGGGGCATCATGGCAGCCTGCATCATGGCACTCTGCTGGTGGGGCATCATGGAGGGCATGAAGCCGGCAGCGGACAGGTCGTGGCCGAGGGCGGGGCGCATGTAGCCGGGCCAGTGGGTGCTGGGGAAAGTGGGTAACTCCTCTGCGAGGGCAGGCATACCGAAGGACTGGTCGAAGAGTCGGCTGCCCTGGTACCAGTCCCTGTAGGGGTCCCAGCTGGGGGTGCGGAGCAGGCTGAAGGGGATGCGTCTCTCTGTCATGGTTGCTGGAGGAAGAGGAGTAGTACTGTAGTAGTAGCAGAGCTGTGGAACTGGCTGGCTGTAGATGCCTTTGGTTGGTGTCTCTCTCTCCAACTTCCACTGAAAGTACCGTCTGCTCCTCGGCAGAGGGCTTTTATACACACAGCCACCGCCCACCTCTCGTCAACACTGTCACTGACCCTCCCTTCTCACCCCATCTGCCTCCCCCTCCCCAGACAGATATTTATAGAAGGAACTAGGTCTATTCGTGGCAGACGTAGCACTAGAATGGAATTCAAGTCCAAGGCAGTGGCGTAGGGCAGTTTCGCTGGGATTTTATAGCTAATCTCATGCTATTTTACATACTTGCCATGAGGATAGAGAGAACATTTTGCAGTTTTAAAGCTAATTTCCTCTTGTTCCCCAAAAACATTGTCATGGCTTATAACGTGTTCATATGCTATCTGGTTTTTTTTTGTGGGGGGAGCGACCCCCAAAGCCTGGGGACGACGACGGGGCCCTCCCTTTTACCCCACTACCCCTCTAACAGCTGTTGAGCACTCTGTTTCACCCCCTCCCTTCCTCCATCCTTCCTCCCTGTCCTGCCAATTGTAATCCCCCTCTGAGCCCACCCTAGCCATGACACAGGGCTAGAGGAATCTGAGAGTCTGTTGTAAAGCAGACAGCCCTGCTCAGCAGAACTAGAGCCCCCCTGCATAGTGGGGAGATATAAGTATGCTGTTTCTAACACACAGGCTGGTAGAGGACAGCACATTATGTGACAAGCCAACCAGACACATACGTGCTATTAGAATGCACATTGGAATCCTAGGAGCTCGGACAAGCAAAACACAACACAGACACCACTGACAACACACACCCACACTCATGCATGCTTGTATAGAGTACACACCCACAGACCCACAAACACGGAGGATGCACACAAGCATGGAGGTATTTGGTGTGATATGAGTTACTTCTGCTATAGAGGAATGGAACCAGAGCTTAGTTAGACAGATGATGATACTGACATGTAGACCCTATATCTCCTTCCTATCTCTGATAGTCACCTACAGAATGGTGTTCCTCTCATCTCATGGACACCCTGTTTTGTTTCAGATCTGTTCCATTGCTGTCCCTGTGGTATTTTGGTTCCAAGTATTATTTTTACCAATCTTGAACAAGGACTTGTTTTTGGCATGCACCTTTCAGTGCTCAGCCTACATTATAGGGATTTCCGCAAATGTGGATAAACGTTAGGACTAATGTCCATTTAGTCCATGGTTTCAATACTGTTCTTGTACAGGTTACATCAGTGATGCAGCGCCACATTTTGTGTCCCAGTGTGTAATAGAGTTCACAGTAAAAATGACAGAGTAAACTTAACTGTGATTGAAGAAAATTGAATTCTACCACAGATAACATTTTAGACCCAGTCTAAAAAGAGTCAAACGTACTCTGGCAACAGAGTCATTTTTTCCCGAATTGTATTCACTCAATTTAGTGTTGAGTTGGTATTTGGTATTTTATTAGGATCACCATTAGCTGTTGCAAAAGCAGCAGCTACTCTTCCTGGGGTCCACACAAAACATGAAACATGACATAATACAGAACATTAATAGACAAGAACAGCTCAAGGACAGAACTACATAAAACATTTTTTAAAGGCACACGTAGCCTACATATCAATACATACACACAAACTATCTAGGTCAAATAGGGGAGAGGTGTTGTGCCGTGAGGTGTTGCTTTATCTGTTTTTTGAAACCAGGTTTGCTGTTTATTTGAGCAATATGAGATGGAACAGAGTTCCATGCAATAATGGCTCTATATAATACTGTACGCTTTCTTGAATTTGTTCTGGATTTGGGGACTGTGAAAAGACCCCTGGTGGCATGTCTGGTGGGGTAAGTGTGTTGATATTTAACTCTGCATCATTGCGTTGGAACTACTGCTTGGGTGGACCTCAGACTTGTGTGAGCCTGGCAGTCTTTACATCACTACGGGTCTACATGTTGCTTTACCATAAACTCATGGACATGGACCTAGGGATGGGATGGGTCGTTGGCATACTGTACCACACAGCCAGGTGTGTTCGTCTTCGCTGAGTAAGCGCTACCACTAACTTGACATTCTCCATCTTATTTGAGGGTCTTATTGAGGGGTAATATTGCCTTGTGTCTCTTCCAAAGAGCAGCACTGGATGGAAGTCAGTATTCCAACACATTAACTCAGACTAGACTGAGTTGAATACACAGTCCAAATATTTGAAATTCTCAATGTGTACTTGGTTTGGCACAATGAAACCAATGGAATAGTTCCAAAAGTACACACTTCATTTACCAGGCAAGTTAAATTAAACGCACAGGTTTGACTCGGACTCAAGAGTGCAGTGCATGGTTGAACATACATGAGCTGTTTTTTATTATTATTTGCCAAGTCATCTCAAAGGATACCTGTTATTGTATAGATCAACAGTACAGATTCTAGGGTTAGGGTTAGGGTTGTGGTTCAGTTTAAGGTTAATGCATTTTCATTCATTCATCAGACTGTGCCTCAGACTCAGACAGATTCAACAATAACGGTGTTATTTCTTGGGAGTGAAGCTGCCTGTATTAATCATATATTCACAGGTTACGTAACATAGGTTGAGTTTATGGATTTGGGAGGAAAGATAAACAGGGAGTTGGAAAAAGTACACCAGGTTACCGAATATTCCAGTGCTTTATTCTCAGGCCAGAGGTATCCAGTATCATTATGAAATAAAGTAAATAGTTACATTAGCACCCTCTGCTGGTGGTGCCTACACATAGCACGTGTTACAGTATGACCAGTGTGTAGACCTCAGTGGCAACGTTTCTTTCCATCTCAAAAAGAGTATCCATCGAAAGACAACACACGTAGCTCATTTTTCATTGGTTTATATTTATTGTCCTGTATAATAACTTTTACACTACAACTAAATGACTTTTATACAATCCAAAGGTTTAGCGCTGTACTCTTAATATCGGAACAGGTTTTGTTTAATATCATACTAGGTTACAGTAACTCTGGTTACATTTTTGATGTAACACTGCATGAGTGACAGGAGGCTTGACGAATGGGAAGGAAGACTGAAGGTGTTCCCTGATTGCATCATCACCAGCAGCTGTCCTATCAGCACAGAGTAATAAACTGAGGCAGGGAACATGATGGGCTTCTAGTGGGACTACCAGTGTCTGGGTTCAGGCGTTTTGCAAGCAGGGGCATTCGCCGCGTACGTAGTTTAGCTGACCACCGGCTTGCAAAATGAGTAGACCCTCTGTCTGTGACCTCATGCCAGGTCAGAGCCAGTTACTAGGACACCTCTGGTAGAAGCAGGGTGCAGGGGATAGAACCAGCCTCTTACAGCAGGGGCAATGTGATTGGTTAGACCAACAACAAACTAGCCCAATCAACACATCTATGTCTGGAGGGAGCCAATCCAGGCCTGTTTTGGACAGAAGGATTTGGTAGAAGTGGACCTTTGGAGCCCTGCAGAGTAACAGCCCCTCTAAGTAACTTTAACCATGTATCCCCTGCACCAGGAAACAGACAGGCAGAAGAATAACAGATTGCATCAACATAAACTTTTAATACAAGCCCCATGGTCTCTGTGGACTGTTTCAGTACTGTAACTAACCCTGTGTAAGAGCATTATAAAACACATCAGGTAAGGGAACCCCGCCATAGAAACAAGCTACCGCCAGCTCAGCTCACTCCCCTATTCTTAAAGGAAGCAGAAGCTCTCATCACAAATAAAAAGGATTTGGGTTAAAACATCAATGGACATACTGAATATTCAAAGATGAGAATACATACATTTGCAGCAATTGTCCCATGATATATTAGTATCTCAATGCCACGATTCTTCAAATTGCTTTAAAAAACATTTGATGAGACGAAACAAATAAATTATCAAATCAATAAACAATAAATAGCTTAATAAATAGATAAATAATTGGAATAAATAATGGAATAAATAGCTGTGGATAAAATATAGACCCACATGAGTGCATGGATGCTATTGCAGAAGGTTTCTGAAGTATCTTAAGAAAGAGCATCTTTGCAGAGAGACTTCACCTCACTGGTCATTGCAGAAGAGGTACAGTAGCATCTACATTAAATGTGCAGTATGCAGAAATTCTAATAGTTTGCCTATTTTCAGTTTATGTGACAAAACAAACAATGCATAGTGTAGAGAATCATTGTACCAACTAAACCGCTGTAAAATATATTGTCAATAACCCAAAATATATTGTATTTTCAGCTGTTTAAAGCCGGTATACAAAACCTAAAGTAAAAGTTGCAAAAAAACGAAACTTAAGAACTGGGATAATAGAAATAGCGCACATAGAACATATCTACTGCTTCTTAGACATGCTTTCAATGAGAATGACAGATCTATAACTCACATTTCTATGTGTATTTGGTCGGGACACACAAAAATGTACATATTGCAGCTTTAATAGTCTGAACACAATAAATAGTGGAATAGGGAAGAGAGGAAAATGACATAATAATACATAGTTTTTTATGTCCCTTCTTGCCTCTGTGTGTAATTACAGGTCCGGTATTTCACATACAATACAGCTCAGAATGGGCAGAGGGGACAGGTGCACCATGGGAGCTGTAGTACTGTAATGACAGGGACAGATGCACCCTGGGACCTATATTACTTTAGTGACAGGGACAGGTGCACCATGGGACCTGTAGTACTGTAGTGTCAGGGACAGATGCACCCTGGGACCTGTAGTGGCGGCCAGCAGGGCTCTCTGGTACAAGCAGTAGCCTTCCTCCTTCCTGGTGCATCATCATGCTAAGTCACCATCACATAAAAATATACAGTGCATAGTTTACAAGCCAGAACTTACAGTTTAGAATCATTTATACATCCTGACATATATGCTACAACCTTTAAAAAAGAACATACATCAGTTCCCTTCTGCGTGCTAAATCGTCAGCCGACTTTTTTGTTCTTTATCGCTTCTCTTGATCTCTCAAGTTCCTAAAATAGAGCATTAGAGTCTTTGGGGAAATGATGTAATGACGTTGGAGAAAAAAATTGTCCGGTTTGATTTAATTGAACTTATTTTCCATTTGTGTCTTTTCTTTTCTTCTTCCACAAACTCATGGAAGTGTCCCAATGCTAGAATATATCAAATCAAATAAAAAGGTAATTTTTTGGTTACTTTTGCTCCGTGGAAGAATATGGAGAAAGTGCTTCCAGACTTGTTCTTTAGGCTTCATAATTTATTTTCTAAAACCATGATCTGAGAAATATTCTTTAAAATAATTGCCAGTGTGTTGCATCCACAGCTGTGGAAAAAATCGATATTTCAGATGAATGTGCTATAATATTAAAAACCTCCCTCTTCCTTCCTTTGATCCAGGCTCGGGTTAAGAGAAAGGGGTAGCAATGTGGACGAGTGGGTGTGTCGAAAGGAAAGTAGTGGGCGTGTCGAAAGGAAAGTCGTGGGCGGGTCGAAAGGAAAGTAGTGGGCGTGTCGAAAGGAAAGTAGTGGGCGTGTCGAAAGGAAAGTCGTGGGCGGGTCGAAAGGAAAGTAGTGGGCGTGTCGAAAGGAAAGTCGTGGGCGTGTCGAAAGGAAAGTAGTGGGCGTGTGGAAAGGAAAGTAGTGGGCGTGTCGAAAGGAGTCGGTGTGTCGAAAGCGCTCTGCTATAGGTTAGACAGTTTTGATTGAGCTGTTTTTTTTTTTGTTACCATGCAACTGCAACTACCGTACATTGAGCTACCATACCGCGAGAGTTTGGATAATAATTGTACATTTTCAGTTACAAAACTGATGATTGTTTATTTTAGATTAAAGGTATTGATGATGGGTGTACAGTTGCTTCATGCGTTGTACATGTGTGTGCTTACTGTGACTGTCACCCTGATATTGGCTACTAGGTAGCTACTTCCCACGCCGTTGCCGGACAGTAGTGCTTGTCAAGCGGGAGTGAAGGGTACTGTGTCGCAGTGTTGTTGCCGTTCATGCCCTTCACATTGAGTAGTAGACTGTATCAAGGTGACATCTATATGGTTATCAATTTTAGTTATTTCTTGTGAAGGTTGCAATACTACTTTAAATAAAAGAATGTTAGTGAACAAAATTCCACGTAAGATATCGCCAGCGACACGACCGTGATACCCAGTAGGAAGCACTTGACTCATCGTGCAGCCCAATCAGCCACCAAAACGGTCTTGAGTGGCAACAAATCTGCCCAATTAGCTGACTCGCTTTCAATACATCCACTGCATTCGACACACCCTCTCGCCCATACTCCGGTCGCCATATTGGGCTGCAGCTACCCATACTAGCGGGTTAACGCGGGTTAACATGAAGTATACAGAGATGGAGACTGAGGAGGGTAAAAAATGACCAGACCAAGGATACATAAGATGATTCGTCCTATCTTTCACTCTCTGTCTCTCTCTATGTTTCCCTCTCTATCTACCCCCTCGCTCGCACTCTTTCTCTCTCCCCCCCCCCCCCCCCCCCTTCTTTTCTCTCTCTGTCTCTCTCTCCTCAGAAGCCGGGGCTCTCGTAGCTGCTGCGACTGTAATAGCTGTGGTTGCGGCTGCGGGAGCGGCTGTGGCTCCTGGTGCGGCTGTGACTGCGGCTGTAGCTGCTGTAGCTGTCATGGCTGCGACTCCTCTCCGAGTGGGAGGGGCTTGACATGGAGCTGGAGGAGGAGGGGCTGGGACGGTAGTACGGGATAGGCCGCTTCCGAGCGCTGAGGAGAGGAGACGATAGAGGGATGGATGTTTAAACAGTGTATAAAAGGCTTGTGATCAATTAGTGGGAGGAGGACCACCACTTTGACAGCTGACCTGAGAGCTGCTCTTTTGGCATGCCTCTGCATTATACAGTACACTCCAATGGGAATATTGTAGGTTTGCAATATAATCAAATGCTTTTCTGATTCCCCAAAATCTTTAATATTTTGTATTTTAACTATACTACGTCAAATGTTATAATCACATAAAAAGATAATGAGAGGGTCATGTTTGGAACATAATAGAGGTCAACTAAAAGGGTCTGGGTCAGCTGTCTTCAAGGGGCAGGCCAGAAATGTGTCATAGTAATTATTAGGTGCGGCAGTCAAATTGAGAAGTGCTGAAAGAGAGCAGCTCCATGTGTTAGTTAGTAGGCATCCACACACACACACACACACACACACACACACACACACACACACACTGCAAAAGGGTTAGGAGCGTTGAGATTGCCTTGTTAGTGAGCATCCTCAAGGTGCAACTTAAGTGCCCATAGAGGTTGCTGCCGGTGAATTGAGAGCTGTTAGCCGCAAAAAGACAGAAAATCATCTGAAGGTTAGCCATCACCCAGGAATCAGGAGAGTTAGTCTAGAGGTAGGACGTCAGCGCTATCAAGGTGCTCACTATCTATGGGGATGTTTTGTGAAAAAAAAAAAAGGTGGTAGTTGTGGATCACAAATACAGAATCCCAAAGAATTTCTATAGATCCACAATTTCGGGTTTACAGACAGACATTGCTTGACGAACTTTGATAGCGCCTTCATCAAAAACCTGTGTTATGGCATTAGTACACGTCAGTGACTGTTTCTCTACTGCTGGTGAATGTGGATTTACGAAAAGAAAGATGGATAGAAAGGGGAGGGAGCAGCGTTACTCTAGGGAAGTCTGTTCGGTTGGTTAACTGCTTCACAAGGCTTCAGCCAGGAGGACTAGGGAGTCCAGCTGCACGACAACTGTTACCACGGTAACCTAGCCTGCAGCTCAGCAGTATTCCGTTGTCTTGGCTTCGGGGGGGGGGAAGGGGGGAACCTTCCTTCGTACAGGAGGAGTGAGAGAGGAGTGTCACAGAACATTTCACCTGCATTTTATGGGAAACCACTTCACACACATTCTGGGAAATAGAATGGAATCATATTATTGCTACAGTGTGCCATCGCTCAGCTGTGGCAAATCCAATCGATGATAAAGGTTTATTATTATTATTATTAAAGGTTGTACACTTCTGTGATATACAGTGAGGGAAAAAAGTATTTGAGCCCCTGCTGATTTTGTACGTTTGCCCACTGACAAAGATATGATCAGTCTATAATTTTAATGGTAGGTTTACTTGAACAGTGAGAGACAGAATAACAACAAAAAAATCCAGAAGAAAAACGCATGTCAAAAATGTTATAAATTGATTTGCATTTTAATGAGGGAAATAAGTATTTGACCCCTCTGCAAAACATGATTTAGTACTTGGTGGCAAAACCCTTGTTGGCAATCACAGAGGTCAGACGTTTCTTGTAGTTGGCCACCAGGTTTGCACACATCTCAGGAGGGATTTTGTCCCACTCCTCTTTGCAGATCTTCTCCAAGTCATTAAGGTTTCGAGGCTGACGTTTGGCAACTCGAACCTTCAGCTCCCTCCACAGATTTTCTATGGGATTAAGGTCTGGAGACTGGCTAGGCCACTCCAGGACCTTAATGTGCTTCTTCTTGAGCCACTCCTTTGTGGCCTTGGCCGTGTGTTTTGGGTCATTGTCATGCTGGAATACCCATCCACGACCCATTTTCAATGCCCTGGCTGAGGGAAGGAGGTTCTCACCCAAGATTTGACGGTACATGGCCCCATCCATCGTCCCTTTGATGCGGTGAAGTTGTCCTGTCCCCTTAGCAGAAAAACACACCCAAAGCATAATGTTTCCACCTCCATGTTTGACGGTGGGGATGATGTTCTTGGGGTCATAGGTAGCATTCCTCCTCCTCCAAACACGACGAGTTGAGTTGATGCCAAAGAGCTCGATTTTGGTCTCATCTGACCACAACACTTTTACTCAGTTCTCCTCTGAATCATTCAGATATTCATTGGCAAACTTCAGACGGGTCTGTATATGTGCTTTCTTGAGCAGGGGGACCTTGCGGGCGCTCCAGGATTTCAGTCCTTCACGGCGTAGTGTGTTACCAATTGTTTTCTTGGTGACTATGGTCCCAGCTGCCTTGAGATCATTGACAAGATCCCGTGTAGTTCTGGGCTGATTCCTCACCGTTCTCATGATCATTGCAACTCCACAAGATGAGATCTTGCATGGAGCCCCAGGCCGAGGGAGATTGACAGTTATTTTGTGTTTCTTCCATTTGCGAATAATCGCACCAACTGTTGTCACCTTCTCACCAAGCTGCTTGGCGATGGTCTTGTAGCCCATTCCAGCCTTGTGTAGGTCTACAATCTTGTCCCTGACATCCTTGGAGAGCTCTTTGGTCTTGGCCATGGTGGAGAGTTTGGAATCTGATTGATTGATTGCTTCTGTGGACAGGTGTCTTTTATACAGGTAACATGCTGAGATTAGGAGCACTCCCTTTAAGAGTGTGCTCCTAATCTCAGCTCGTTACCTGTATAAAAGACACCTGGGAGCCAGAAATCTTTCTGATTGAGAGGGGGTCAAATACTTATTTCCCTCATTAAAATGCAAATCAATTTATAACATTTTTGACATGCGTTTTTCTGGATTTTTTTGTTGCTATTCTGTCTCTCACTGTTCAAATAAACCTACCATTAAACTTATAGACTGATAATTTCTTTGTCAGTGGGCTAACTTACAAAATCAGAAGGGGATCAAATACTTTTTTCCCTCACTGTAAATACATTTCACCTGAAATAATATAACGTGTTCAATTCCACTTAGATGATACTATCCAACAGACACTTACATTTACAGATACACTAAATACTAGTTTTACTATTTACTAGTATATTTACTATATACTATGTCAGATTAGAGAACATATAAGTACCCCACATTTACAGTAATTATGCTGAGGATTCACAATAAAATTGTTGAGAAAAGCCAAAGAAAACCTTGACAAACTCTCCCATAGATGTCAGTGTTACACTTTTATTCTGCTTTCACTGAGGGAGCTTGGTTAGATAGATCCTCTGTTACCTGGTGATCCTGCGAGCCTCCATGAAGCTGGGAGAGTCTCGTCTCCTTTTCCTGATGGGAGAATAGCTCCTGGAGCGACGGCGAGCACGGTCAGCATCAGAGTGGTGAGGGCTGTCTCTCTCCCTAGTGGAGAAAGGAAAATATGCGCATCAAATTGTCATGTACTGGACAGAAAAAATGAATATATGAGAAAAGTAATGTTCGTGTCTAAATAAATCACTGGGTAACAAGAACAAAGTTGCAAAAGTTTCTAGTTAATCCAAAACCAAGAGTGTAATCTGGCCTTCTGGGTCAGGTATGCAGGAAAGCCAGTAGCCCCTCTTGGTGGTAGGTTAACTATCATTCATAGACCAATAAGTAACCCTTCTGTAAGCGGTCACCTGGAGTTGTTCTGTCTGGCGTGGGGGTGGGGGGACTTGGCCTTGCTGGGGCCTCTCTCTCTGGAGACGGAGCGTGATGAAGAGCTTCCGGAGCTCCAGGAGCTGCTACGCTGCCGGACCCCCACGCCACCGCGCCCCCGAGACTCACTCTTCTTCCTGCTTGACGCAGACGTGTGGCGGTGCCGCCCTGGAGAGGCAGACTGGCTCTGGTGATGGGCCTGTCCCCGAACCCCATGGTGATGCCGCTTGGACGAGTGGCACCCTTTAGTCCTTGAGGTAGATGGATAAATTAGTATCGATTGATTATTGGTAACAGAGGAAGGATGGGGGTCAAGATTGTTGGATACCTTTAGTAGGCAAGGTATGAAGAAATGGGAAAGTGAGGCAAATAAGTGCATCATTCATTTTTTTGTGACATGTGCCACATTAGAAGATCACCTAACAGGTTGTTTAGTTCTCAAAGCGATCAACCTGTTTTCATTCTACTTAGCTAATCTTAGCATAGCACAAGCCAGGAGAATAAGAGTGAAAAGTGAAGTGCGTGGGACTGTGCCCTGGACAGCAGACCAAGCACCAAACACAGTGAACATAAAAGAAGGGGAGACAACCTTGTCCCGGACCACTGTGATTAGTATTTGACCCTGCTGGTCGTTTGAACATCTTGAAGAACAATCTGGCCTTAATGGCCATGTACTCTTATAATCTTCACCCGGCACAGCCAGAAGAGGACTGGCCACCCCCCCAGAGCCTAGTTCCTCTCTAGGTTTCTTCCTAGGTTCCTGCCTTTCTAGGGAGTTTTTCCTAACCACCGTGCTTCTACATATGCATTGCTTGCTCACTGGGGTTTTAGGCTTGATTTCTGTATAAGCACTGTGACAACTGCTGATGTAAAACGGGCTTTATAAATATATTTGATTTAATTGATTGAAGACAACACCTGCCAAGGACAGGACATGTAAAGATTATGTCAGTATGGGTGGTCGAATCTCTCTGCTTACTTCTTCCGGTGAGAGCTTTTCCCTCTGTGAGGATGCAGGTTACGTTGAGAGTGGGCGGAGTCACTGCTGTGAGCCGGCGAATGGGAGCTCTTCCCATGAGCTCTGTGACTACTGTGACCTCCCCGTCTGCCCGACGACCCCATCGTCTGCCTTCCCTCTCCATGTAGGGCCTCTCCAGCCTGAGTTGCAGTACCTCCTCCTGGGGTCCTGTAAAGGGCATCGTGGGTCTTGTGCTCTCCTCCTCTCAGCTGAGGCAGCATCATGGTCGACTGCTCGCCCGGAGTAGCAGCAGTCAGCATTCTCAGCTTCTGTAGAGAAATGACAACCAACAAAAGAAAAAGAAAAAAAAGGGGAAAAAATAGAAAAAAGGCCTTAGAGTTTGTCACAGTGGAGTGTTTGAGCGCTACGGTGTACTTGGCAAAAGAGGGTCAACATCTAAAAGAAAATATCTAGGTTTTTTCTCGATATGGCTTATAGACAGTCCTCTATGGTGCAGCGCATGCAATACTTGGCATGCAAAACTATAATGAGTCGAAGAAATCATAAATTCCGAAAAGAAACAAAAAGAACTAGAAGAGAAAAGGGATTTTTTTGTGTTTATTATGTCCCAAATGAAGTTAAAGAGCAGAGAGAGAAGAGAGTACAGAGCTACAGACTTTGTAGAGTAGAAAAGGAGGACTTCTTCAAGTTTTAGTAATGGTTCAAAAACAAATGTGAAAAAAAAAGAGTAGACAACTTGACAGAACATCACAGAAATGGAAGGAACAAAATAAAATAGTCAAGGAACAATTATAGAGTCAAATCGAATCAGAAAAACAAATCGTCTGCTACTCAATAATTTTCTCTTTGTGGATTTTTTTTTCCCTGTAGTAGACACTTGCTGAGATGTGAACAGCGACCCATTTTATTTTTTTCTGTTGTTTAAAAAAAAAATCGTTACTCTTGTTTAACTCCCTTTTGGTTAACATCCACTTACCAATAAAGTGGCATTCCCTCCTTTAGTAGGTAAGGTATGAAGAAAAGGGAAAAGTGGGGCAACATAAGTGCATCATTAGATTTCACAAAATGCAAGAGAAAAAGACACAAAACCCTTCCCTGGCAGAGTGAGGCATGAGACAATGCATGGAAATCAACTGAAATTAAATCAAGAAGAAAAGAGGAAAGAACACACCACAATGTTCAGGGAACCGATGTGAGGATTTTTCTCGATGTTTCTCAATGTTCAGGGAACACAATGTACACACCGAGAGTAGCTACATCTTCCAGATCATTCCTTCTCCTGCCCAGCCCACTCCACCAGACGGCAGGGCAGACAGTCTGTGTGAATGACCATTGCGTTTAAAGTAGACTCAGCGATATGACAGAGATGCAGAAAGTAAACAGCATAGTGGGTCAATTTCTGCAACAACTAAGAGCGTTGAAGCGAGAGGCTCAACTTCTCTGCGGTTTTGGTGCCCTGGCGACCACGCTGTGAACGGCGTGAAGCGAACCCGTGCACAGGCGCAGATACTGTGTGTGACTGTGTGAGAGCAAAGTCTTGCATCTCGCTCATCTCAATATCTGCGGTGCTGCTCCTGGCAATGTCATCTCGCTGAGTCTACCTTTAAGTTTAGGGCTTCCAGAGAGTTACGTTTAGGAGTTCAACCCCCAGGTACTGTATTTTAGGTTACAGTTTGTTCAAACCAAGGCATTCCTTGTCAGTGTGGGGTTGCGCTTCCCCTTTAAGCCTCGGGCATATGACATTTTAATTGGCTCTGTCGAGATCTGTTTTAGTTCTCTGTTTTAATAATATCCATTAATATGAAAAAATCTGTACTATTCAATTTAACTGTAGCAAAAGCAACAGTCCTCTGCGAGAACAGAACCTCTGAAAATATTGTGTACTTCTAGACATTTATTGATGGGATTCTTAAAACTACAGTATCATTATAAACACAAATGTGTTTGGTAGACCAACTTCAGTAGGAGGCTTTTAAGCAAGTGGTCGATGTTGAGAGATAAGGTATGCTGAGGACATTGAACTAGGATGCAGGCATATTCTGTAATAGCAGTGTACACAGGGCAAGGGGTTTCACAAAGTATTGTGAGTGCAGATATTTGTGTGGAGCAGTTGTGTCTCCGGGATATAAAGGCAGGTCAAATGTCAAAGCAGGTAAATATCAAAACACAGCGAGTTCTCTTGCATGCATTAACCTTCTCTCCTGTAAACGCTGACCGTTGAATTACGACTAAAACAGGGACTCTTCATTGAAATCAACAGAAATATTCAACCCTTCTCCACAAAACAAACAAAGGACTAAGCTGTAGAAATAAGAAAACACAACCACTGACGCAGATGATGACAGTTGTTAGAAACAGCCATCGAGGAAATAAATATGATCAAATCATAAGACGAATGTAACTATTTCACCAAGTGAACAGAGAGATGCTGGACAAACAGGAATAAATGCATTCTACCAAAACAGAAAGAAGAGGACAAAGAAATGGGCCTGCTTGATATATATATTGATTGGGCGGGATATTGGACTGAATTCAGTATGAACGTTTGAGAAGGTTAGAGGAAAAAACGATCAACTCTAATCCAAATCTTAACAGCAAAGTATAACTGAAGATAAAGTTCCCTGGTGGTTAAATCATAGAAAGGGAGACAAGGAAACATTGACATCAAGCTAGAGGCTTCTGACATTCTCATATCTGCATAAAGAAAGACCACGTGCCAAGGCAGAGCGTTACCTACCTTCCATTTCAATCAGTGACACGTATGCAATATCAACAAAAAAAGAAAAGGAAGAAAAAAGAAAGAAAGAAAAAAAGAAAAAAAGGAATGTTCTCCGCAGCGAAATGGGAAAAAGACAATGAACCTCTTTTAGTATCAACGCTACCAACTTCTTCCAGAGACTAAGAAGGAGAAGGTAAACAAGCCAACAAAAAAACAAAAGAAAATGGACAAACAAAACCAACACTTAAAATCAAAATCAAACTAAAGGTTAAAAAATGAATCTAAAAACTACAATGATTTGCTGTCTTTTTCGCTTGTTCAAATGCAGCCATGGTTCCATCAAAAGGGAGAGGTGGGTAAAGGTTGGGTAAGTGAATAGAGTGATTCATGAAACAAAATGAAATCCATTGTTAAGATAGAATTGCTAGAGGAAAGGAAGGAAGGAGGGATGGATGGAGAGAAGGAAGGGCATGCAAAGCTGGCATATGACAGACAATTGAAGAAGGGAGATGAGCATGTCAGGACAACAGAGGGCAAGAAAGATGGTGTCACACACAACACGGATGGACAGATAGAGGGGAGGAGTGTCGGAAGGAGGGAAGCTGAGGGCTGGGCAGTCACCGCTAGACTGGACAACTAGTAGAGTCAGCACATTTAAAAGGGACCCCAGTCACATTTTGGAAAATATATTCTTCAACAAGAGAACAATACCCATTGCGGTTTACGAAAGCTATCAAAACCGTCTCAGAAAGCACATTGTGGCCTCTTTCACTTCTTACATATTCCTTTTGGGCTCAGCAATGCACCAGGGTTGTTACAGTGCCCCATGTTAGTACAAGGCGATTGTTATTGAGTCAGAATAAAAGGGTGATTCTTGGTGAATTTAAAGCCTTGTAAAACGAACAGTACAGTGAGCCTTGGGGAGGGTGGTACTGAACATATCAATATCAATATCAATACAAAGGGGAAATTAAATACGGCACTCGCATTCAAAATGGCTTGGGTCCCTTTAAAATACCAATGTTACTAAATGTTGTGTGTGGTCCTATTTAGTTTCAAGATTTGTATCACTGTTTTTTGTATGTTAGCAGATATCCATTTACCCTGGAACAAGAAAACTACAGACAGAATCAGAAGGACAAACTGAGATGTAGAAACAGAAGAGACAGAAAAGAACCAAGTTGCTGCTGCATATGTGCTAACCATAGAGATACTACAGTATTATCTAGCTTCTGTTGGATCTATGATCTCCCAGAAAGGTTCGGTATCCAAAATGAACAATATTGAGCGAGCAACCTCCCAAATACACAAGGAGTCTGAGCACTGATGAATTTTCAGCAAGGGAGAGACACAATAATTCCCCTGTATGTGGAGATTGACAGGAGAGGTCTCGTGAACCAAAAACCTGTTTAAGGCTGATGGTATAGGATGAATTGTCAAAAGGTTGACAGATTTGAGCTTCAGTGATAAACACCTAGCAATTTTACATTCACCGCAACACAACCGATTGGCTCAAATCTCCAAACACTGAGCGTCATTATGCAACAATGGCGCATGAGACTCCCCTTGCCAATCCCCAGTGACTTGGAACACATAGAGATACAGAATATACTGTATATCAACATCAGGGACAGTCTGACAGAAGTGATACTGCCACCTAGAGACAACATGCAGGTCACATGATACAGTAAACAGGAAGTAGTAAACAGGAAGTGAATAGAGAAAATAGAGAGAATACAGAGAGAGAGAGAAGGGGTTGTTGTACACCTGATGTCTGGGAGCTCTCTCAGACTTCTGAAGGAAGGGGCTAACTATCACTGAGCAAAACATTGTGCTTTATAAAGACTGTATTGACAAGAAGAACTAATAGTACACATACCCAGTTAACCTACTTGGTCCAGTTCCAAAGCATATGAGTGCTTTTTACATAAACGACAGAAAAGGAGCATTGGGCATTGATTTCATGAGGTAAATACTACTCAAATCGATAAAAAGCAGAAAATAAAACAGTCATAAATGAATACAAGCAGTGAGAGAGAGCGAGAGAGAGAGAGAGAGAGAGAGAGACAGACAGACAGACAGACAGACAGACAGACAGACAGACAGACAGACAGACAGACAGACAGACACATACAGACAGATAGACAGACAAATAGAGCAGGTGAGATCTTTCTCATAAACACATGCAAGCTCGAGGAGGAAAGGAAATCGAAGGAGATAGCATCATCTGTAATTCATTACTCTAGACAGAATGTTTTCGGAGGCTGTTCTACACCTCATTTAGTTGCTTAGTCAGCAGTGAAAGTGAAACAGTAATGGCTATCGCCTTTGGTCTAAATGATGTCTGTTGTTTTGTTAGCAGAGCACACTTGTAGTTAGATTCAGTTAGATTCAAACGCAAAATGCTACCTCAGTTCTAAGGATCCATCTATAGTAGGGAGATTAGGGTGATGATTGACAGATAGTGATTTAAAACATAACAGTATAGTCAGTCTGTCGTTCTTTGAGGTTGTTTCACAGATAGATCAAAATAAAGCAGGTTAGGAGGGGTTACCGTTTTCAAAGGAGCCAAAGCATGGAAACAGTTCCAAATGAGACAGTTAGGGAGGAATAAGAATGACAGAAGACAAAATCAATTCTGAGTAATCTAGACAACATGTCTGGTTAGCTTCAGTGATAAATACCTAGCAATTATACATTCACTTTTTATACCCCTATCATTCTTGCTACTGTACCAGTGCAGCAATGACTTCTCTGTCGCTCATTCAGTTCTGAGCAATTACATCCATGTTATAGCCTCCTTTAGTGACTGTACTGAGGCATTTGGTGGCACTAGAGTTGAATGTGTAACCAAATTGAAACCAATCACGTGTAGAAACTAGAAGCATTGGAAATTGGATAAATTAGGCTCAGTTCAAATCACCACACAATCTCACAGGCCAAACCAGTTAACATCATTCTCATATGACAATATAAGATAGAACTGGTTGAGTTCAGATGTAAAAATAGCATCGTTGAGACCTAAATTATTACATCCATCTTTGATTGTTAGATCAGTCAGCTACAGATGGTTGTATTGATGGCTGGTATCATGCATTACCATCAGCATGATCAAATGACAACTCTTGACTAACATTTTCAAAATGTAGTAAACTCTACAGCATATCAAAAACATTTAACAGGGCCTTCATGATAACTATTAATAAGTACTTTTTACATAAGCCTCCTCCTGTTTCATATTTTATTACATTTGAGGGAGCTGTAGCAAAAACAAACTTATAAAGTATTAATTGTTTCCTTTCCCTGGCTAAACTGATTCAGAAGTGAGCTCTCACCATTTCATCACTGCAGGAGCTGGCTGCCTAACAAAAACCAAAGAGTTTCCAGCCCATAAGCAAACCCAGGGTGTCTGACGCTCTGTCCCAAATGGCACACTATTCCCTACATAGTGCCCTACTTCTGACCAGAGCCCTATCGGAAAGTATTCAGACCCCTTGACTTTTTTCCACATTTTGTTACGTTACAGCCTTATTCTAAAATTGATTAAAAATGTTTTTTCCCCTTATCAAACTACACACAATACCCCATAATGAAAAAAAAATATTAAAAAAATAGGTTTTTAGAAATGTTTGCAAATGTATAAAATAAAAAAAAATGGAAATATCACATTTACATAAGTATTCAGACCCTTTACTCAGTACTTTGTTGAAGCACCTTTGGCAGAAATTACAGCCTTGAGTCTTCTTGGGTATGACGCTACAAGCTTGGCACACCTGTATTTGGGGAGTTTCTCCCATTCCTCTCTGCAGACCCCCTCAAGCTCTGTCAGGTTGGATGGGGAGCGTCGCTGCACAGCTATTTTCAGGTCTCTCCAGAGATGTTCAATCAGGTTCAAGTCCGGGCTCTGGCTGGGCCACTCAAGGACATTCAGAGACTTGTCCCGAAGCCCCTCCTGCGTTGTCTTGGCTGTGTGCTTAGGGTCGTTGTCCTGTTGGAAGGTGAACCTTCACCCCTGTCTGAGGTCCTGAGCGCTCTGGAGCAGGTTTTCATCAAGGATCTCTCTGTACTTTGCTCCGTTCATCTTTCCCTCGATCCTGACTAGTCTTCCAGTCCCTGCCGCTGAAAAACATCCCCACAGCATGATGCTGCCACCACCATGCTTCACCGTAGGGATGGTGCCAGGTTTCCTCCAGACATGACGCTTGGCATTCATCAGACCAGAGAATCTTGTTTCTCATGGTCTGAGAGTCCTTTAGGTGCCTTTTGGTAAACTCCAAGCGGGCTGTCATGTGCCTTTTACTGAGGAGTGTCTTCCGTCTGGCCACTCTACCATAAAGGCCTGATTGGTGTAGTGCTGCAGAGTTGGTTGTCCTTTTGGAAGGTTCTCCCATCTCCACAGAGGAACTCTGGGTTCTTCGTCACCTCCCTGACCAAGGCCCTTTTCGCCCGACAGCTCAGTTTGGCCGGGCGGCCAGCTCTAGGTGGTTCCAAACTTCTACCATTTAAGAATGATGGAGGCCACTGTGTTCTTGGGGACCTTCAATGCTGCAGACATATTTTGGTACCCTTCCCCAGATCTGTGCCTCGAGACAATCCTGTCTCGGAGCTCTACGGACAATTCCTTCGACCTCATGGCTTGGTTTTTGCTCTGACATGCACTGTCAACATTGGGACCTTATATAGACAGGTGTGTGCCTTTCCAAATCATGTCCAATCAATTGAATTTACCACATGTGGACTCCAATCAAGTTGTAGAAACATCAAGGATGATCAATGGATACAGGATGCACCGGAGCTCAATTTCGAGTCTAATAGCAAAGGGTCTGAATACTTATGTAAAAAAGGTATTTCTGTTTTTTATATTTATTACATTTGAAAACATTTCGAAAAACCTGTTTTCGCTTTGTCATTATGGGGTATTGTGTGTAGATCGATGAGGAAAAACATTAATTTAATCCATTTTAGAATAAGGCCGTAACGTAACAAAATGTGGAAAAAGTCAAGGGGTCTGAATACTTTCCGAATGCACTGTAGGGAATATGGTGTCATTTTGGACACATCCTAATAGTAAACCTCCATATTACCGGTCCATAACATGTGCCATGCAAACATTCACTTGGGCCAGAGATTAATTGATCATATTCAGTCATTTTTCTTTCTCTTATCCTCAGCAAACTTAGCCTGGTCCCAGATCTGTTTGTGCTGTCTTGGCGTGGAAATGACCATAGGAGGCAAGGCAGCACAAACAGATCAGGCCACAGCAAACTCAACGTTCCATACGTATGACTCAAACATCCCTCCCTCCCTCCCTCTAACCAGTTACGTCAAAAGAATGTTGAGATGGTATAAGTATCAAAGTAGTGCCAGAAATAAGCAGTGGCAGCAAGATTGCACAGGAGGACAAAGGTGGTTGGTAGATATACTGAGTAACAAAAACGACCCTGCAAAAACAGGAATAACTAAAAGAAGAGTAATTCTATAATAGTACACACATAAAGAGAGAGGGGAAAATGTCACAAACCGACACAAAGAAGAGAAGTCATGTTCATAGGAGATGGAGACAGTGTGGAGGTTACCATTTGAGTGTAGGGGGGGTTAGGGAGGGGAAGGTGGTAGGGCGAGATAGAGGAGACTACATACATCTTGCCCTTTGTCGCCATCGGCCACATGATTGTGGTTGAGTCTGCCGGCTTTGCCATTGCGGGCGCGGCCTTGGTGGTGGTGCCCGTTGTGCCACGTGACAGGACCGTCAGGACCACCAGGACCGGGAGACGGGGACGGGCTCACACAGGCTTTGTGTCCGTCTGTCTTGAGCTTGGAGTTGGGCCTGGAGGGACAGACGGACAGACAGACAGGAGTACTGAACCAATCTGCTGAAATGACTCAGACTCAAGAGTATACTATACTAGCTATAGGCTGTTTAAGACTCAACAGCATAGTCTAGGCTATCATGACCTCTTCAACTAGTCAGTCATGAGTCAATTACCATCAACTACATTCTGATCAAATAATAATCATGGATCTCTAGCAGAGCTGTTGCAAACCTTAATCAGTGTTACATCAATAGACCAGAGTCTGATTAAAGGGTGTGTGATACAGTGAAGGCATGCATCTAAGGGGGGGGGGGGGGCTTTTTTTTGTGGTTCTGGGAGTCCTACCTGCCGGGGGACTTGGAGGGGCTGTGGTCTGTGGAGGAGTGTGATGCACTGCGGGAGCTACAGCAGCTGCCTCTACGCTGAGACGTCCTACTGGGGGACTCTACTGGGGACCTGTGGGAAACACACACACACACACACACACACACACACACACAAAAACGGCGCACACACACACGCACCCACACGTACAGACGCGCACACGCCCGCAAGCACACACACAAACAAAAACATTCGGACAGGCGGATGCACGCACACACACACACACGAGCACACACACACACATGCACGTAAATGTACACGTACACAACAGAGTTTTCAATTAAACAAGACTGACACCATTCAAGCTTGTGGCATGTATCAATTTATTTAGATACTGTATGTTTCTGTCAAAGATTATACTTAAGTCTGCGGAACATCTAACATCTTCTCAGTTCAGTGTCCATTATTGTTAGATTATTTTTAAAAAGGGGACCTCATTACCTCTTTCTGGTTTTGTTCTTGTCTTTCTGTTTGTTCTTTGGGCTACCCGATCTGAAAAGGGAAACACATTGATGCATCTTCTTTAAACAGGTAACAAGGTACGTGCACTGTAACAAGCAGGCATTGACCTAGTATCCCTGACTGTAATGCCTATGTGATGTGGAATATACAGTACATAGAGTACTTTATTGATCTGCATACCCACCTGTATCTCCTCTTTCTCCTGGAACCAGACGTCGACCTACAGAGAAAGAGAGAGGGTGAAACCTGAGTCATCTGTAGCTCAGTTGGTAGAGCATGGTGCTTACAATGTCAGGATAGTGGGTTCAATTTCCAGGACCACCCGTACATAAAATGCATGCCCGCATGACTGTAAGTCGCTTTGGATAAAAGCGTCTGCTAAACGGCATATATTATTTTTATTCGAATGATTAAACCTCTGTTACACACACACTGAACTCCAGTTAGCCTGACCATCTCTCTAGACCTTATTGAGGGGATATAGACGCGTTCCTCAATGCTTGACTGACTACATACAGTACTTCAAAGTCCTTTGTACGTTCACACTACCGTTGCCACGGTGATTAGTCAGACTGGACGACAAGAGCTCTTCTTTTCCCTCTTTTTACACAACACTGTATTCCCCTTATGTGGACACAGACACAAACATCTAATACACCTGGGCACATGTAGCACAAGGAGAGAGGAACACAAAAACCATGTCAGGTTCATTCATCCTGGTCTGTGCTAGTGAAGAGAAAGAGACCAATAAAGCTGTCGGAGTGATATAGGGCCAGTGAAGAAGTGCTGTGGCGTCTAGCTTATGAGACCATGGCTGTGTCCCAAATGGCACCCTATTCCCTGTTTAAGTTGGGTTAGCCTCAGGATGTAAGGAGGGAGAGCCTCCTCTGTATATAGTGTGTTCAGACAAAAGCCTATGTTTGTAGTGCTCTTTTCCACGACCAGTCATTATTAAATATCCTGAACTTGGTTTCAAGTCTTTGTCTTTTTTGTTCTTGACTATCTTCATACCATCAAGTCTTAGAATCCTACATTATTAACCCTCTCCTCTCCCTCCTCCATCGCTCTCCTCCCTCTGTTTCTCCTAATTGGTGAAATATTCTCCTATGCTATACTTCAAACGGGAGCCCAAACCAAAGAAAACGTAATCTTCTGTGGTTACATAGTGAGTTGTGTGGACACCATAGCAGCTTACGGTTCAGATTGTTACAACTGCATCGCAAAAAGCTCCACTCCCCCTCCACCGCCTCCTCCAATGCCCCAACAGGCACACACAATAGAGCATATCACAGGAGGCTACCTAACTCTAGGGACGCACCCACCTCCTTCTTCTCCTCCTATCTCTCTAACCATACATTATTCATGTGTAGACAATACCTGCAATGCAGTGGATGTTTGGAGAAATCTGAGGAGGGGAGAGAGAGAAGCTAAAGGGGGGAGAGAGGGGGAGGAGGATAGTTTTATAAGTGTGAGGAGGGTAGGGGTGTTGGGTGTGTGTGTTTTGTGTGGGGGGGGGGGGGGGGGGGGGGCAGCACAGCGATGATCTGCAATTTGGTGAGAGGCTCATTTTTCTTATTTTGCGGCTCTCATACAGGCTTGGTTATTAGAAGGATGAGTTTAGCCCCCACAAGACAGAGATAATTAAAGAGAGAGAGAGAGAGAGAGAGAGATAGGGAGAGAGAAATAGAGAAGGAGAGAGAAAGAGTGAGAGATAAAAAAGGGAGGAGGGATGCGCTCTTTAGAATTGCTTATTGTCCTTATGATATCCCTGGGCGAAGCAGTATTATTCTCTGCTGAACTCTCTTTCTCATTCTCTCTCTCTCCATTCTCTTTTTCATTTTGTGCTGACACTATAATTATTGCTTTAAGAAAAGTATAAGCAACATTTTTTCAAGGTTTTATTAAACATCATCCATAATGAATTAATGCGCTGGAAGAATATCCTCTCCAATATCCTCCTTCTCACTTTGCGTCTCAATATCCTTATCAATAATAGATTACTTGTTTCAGGAAACTAGGTGTATGTCGTGCGTCACTACTTCACAGGAGAGGCATTTGAACGTAAACGTTTTAAAAATCAAAATCAGTTTTTTGGCAGAAATGCCTTCTGGAACATGTGAAATTTCAAAACGTGTATGCCATCTGTAAATACTAATACAATTGTTAAGTATTTACGAGCCTGGTTGGTTTAGCCACGGAAAAAGACAGGAACCTTCCCGCTAGCAATGATTGGCTGAGATAATGGATGGAATGGACATGCCGAGAGATGAGTTCGGTTTGGTCTGCCATATAGCACGCTTCTGTCTATAACATGAGCTGGTCAGTATGTGTAGGTAATCCTTTCTAACCCTGATATTTTAAAAGATATCACACAGTAGAACTGCAAAAGTGTTGCTCTCCACTTTCTGGAGGGCCGAGTTTTGAAATCAGTGGAATGCCCGGTGGAATTAGAGTATGATAGCTAAGGAGATGGAGAAAATTATGTTGTTTCATTGCAAATATGCAGACGGAGTCGAAAAGAGAAGACACAGAAGGCTGTTGTATAAAACACCTGTCTCAGGATTACATTTTCAAACTAAGGGCAACCATGGCATCCGTGACAGAGAGGGAGAAGCGTCCATCCATGTATACGAGTAAGAGAGTCTAGCTAGCTACATTTTCAGATATTATACATTTCTAATTTTGTCATTTCAATTCAAGTTAAAGCATACTGTTAGCTACAGTGAGGGAAAAAAGTATTTGATCCCCTAATTGATTTGGTACATTTGCCCACTGACAAAGAAATGATCAGTCTATAATTTAAATGGTAGGTTTATTTTAACAGTGAGAGACAGAATAACAAGAAAAAAATCCAGAAAAATGCATGTCAAAAATGTTTTAAATTGATTTGCATTTTAATGAGGGAAATAAGTATTTGACCCCCTCTCAATCAGAAAGATTTCTGGCTCCCAGGTGTCTTTTATACAGGTAACGAGCTGAGATTAGGAGCACACTCTTAAAGGGAGTGCTCCTAATCTCAGTTTGTTACCTGTATAAAAGACACCTGTCCACAGAAGCAATCAATTAATCAGATTCCAAACTCTCCACCATGGCCAAGACCAAAGAGCTCTCCAAGGATGTCAGGGACAAGATTGTAGACCTACATAAGGCTGGAATGGGCTACAAGACCATCGCCAAGCAGCTTGGTGAGAAGGTGACAACAGTTGATGCAATTATTCGCAAATGGAATAAACACAAAAGAACTGTCAATCTCCCTCGGCCTGGGGCTCCATGCAAGATCTCATCTTGTGGAGTTGCAATGATCATGAGAACGGTGAGGAATCAGCCCAGAACTACACGGAAGGATCTTGTCAATGATCAAGGCAGCTGGGACCATAGTCACCAAGAAAACAATTGGTAACACACTATGCCGTGAAGGACTGAAATCCTGCAGCGCTCGCAAGGTCCCCCTGCTCAACAAAGCACATATACAGGGCCGTCTGAAGTTTGCCAATGAACATCTGAATCATTCAGAGGAGAACTGGGTGAAAGTGTTGTGGTCAGATGAGACCAAAATCGAGCTCTTTGGCATCAACTCAACTCGCCGTGTTTGGAGGAGGAGGAATGCTGCCTATGACCCCAAGAACACCATCCCCACCGTCAAACATGGAGGTGAAAACATTATGCTTTGGGGGTGTTTTTCTGCTAAGTGGACAGGACAACTTCACCGCATCAAAGGGACGATGGACGGGGCCATGTACCGTCAAATCTTGGGTGAGAACCTCCTTCCCTCAGCCAGGGCATTGTAAATGAGTCGTGGATGGGTATTCCAGCATGACAATGACCCAAAACACACGGCCAAGGCAACAAAGGAGTGGCTCAAGAAGAAGCACATTAAGGTCCTGGAGTGGCCAAGCCAGTCTCCAGACCTTAATCCCATTGAAAATCTGTGGAGGGAGCTGAAGGTTCGAGTTGCCAAACGTCAGCCTCGAAACATTAATGACTTGGAGAAGATCTGCAAAGAGGAGTGGAACAAAATCCCTCCTGAGATGTGTGCAAACCTGGTGGCCAACTACAAGAAACGTCTGACCTCTGTGATTGCCAGCAAGGGTTTTGCCACCAAGTACTAAGTCATGTTTTGCAGAGGGGTCAAATACTTATTTCCCTCATTAAAATGAAAATCAATTGATAACATTTTTGACATGCGTTTTTCTGGATCTTTTTGTTGTTATTCTGTCTCTCACTGTTCAAATAAACCTACCATTAAAATGTGTCAGTGGGCAAACGTACAAAATCAGCAGGGGATCAAATACTTTTTTCCCTCACTGTAGCTAGCTAACGTTAGCTGGCTGGCTTGCTAGCTATTATTACGTGTATGATCTGTGTACTAATATTATTCGTATCTCAGAGCCATTTGCATTGCGAGTTATAGCCCAATGTTAGCTAGCTAGCTAACATTGAACCTGGTTGGTTAGCTACCTGCAGATTCATGCAGGGTAGTAACGTTATGAGTTGGGATTATGGTTAATTGTTTAGCTAGCTAGCTAGCTAGCTACATGTCTAAACAAAAGACTCCACTATGCAAGTAACCATTTCACTACACCTTCTGTATCCTGTGCATGTGACAAATAAACGTTGATTTTATTTGATATAGTATGTGTTTACCAGAGACGGTAATGTGAAGAACATGACCTGCACCAAAGTCAAATTAGGATATAACGTTAGGTCAATGAGACAGTGTCCAAGTTCAAAAATGATCCGGTAGAATGCCCTGCTTTTAGTTAGTCACACTCACAACCGTAAGCTATTTTCTGTTATTGGCTCACTATTAACTTGTAAATAATGATCTTGTTGTGAGATTATTTTCCTGTAATAATGAAGACAAATGAGCTAAAGTGAAGACGTTGTCAGCTATATGATATGGTCATTATTTGAACTGGCTAGCCAGCTAACTTAACATTAGCTATCTAGCTAACAAGCTAGAAACGAACCAAAACATTGTTTAGAAAGTTGCTTTTAGTTGTCTGGTTTGCTAGATTGACATATACTAAATACATTTTTTTAAACGGGTGGGTTTATTGGTGTTAAAATACACTAGTTATGCTATTTTGGACCACCTGGTTGCTGATGTCATGCAGTCTGTAGTTTTTGTGTTTATACTTTTTCATAACGACAATGACAAGTTTGATGTCGGACAACAATAGAATGTTCATGATGTCACTGCGACAACTGTCGATAGACGTAGTATAAACCAGCCTTTAGTCTTGAAATCTTTGGTTGTTTAGTACATGGCCTCACATGTGAATCCTTAGATGGGTGGGGCTAAGGCTTAAGAGGGTGTGAACAATGCTGAATGGGTGTAGACAAAGAAGAGCTCTCCGGTAGGTTTACCGAAACATTCAAGGTCCATTTTCTCAAAGGTGAGGTTACAAGTTTATCAACATTCAAAGCAGAATTACTTTCCCATTGTTCCTCAACTGTAGTGTACGATATACAATTTTCTAGCTCTGAGTCTCGACTTTTATCCAATGTAAAAATCACAATTTCAAATGTTTCTACATAAGACCAAGTCGTCACATATAGTCTGTTGTTTTCTAGAAAACATAGCTTATTTGTGGTTCCTGTACTATTTGGGCCTATAGGACAGTGAGTGGTGAAAGTACAGTACTAAGTAACGGCAGAGCTCGAGTTTGGTGAAACATGGGCATTTCTGAGTGATCCTCTTTCTTTTTATGGGATAGTTATGCTGTGAAGTGTCCTTGGGGTAATATGTTGTTGTTTTTTAGTCCCTCAGTTGATCACCTTCCCCTGTTATGAAAACAGGCTGAAAAGCATCAGGGTATGCTCACATTCTATGAGTAACCTAGAGGATGAATGTTCATGAAAAGCGCAGACACGCGCACACACACACCTGTCTCGCTTGTGTTTCTTTCCACTTTTCTTCTTCTTCTCTCTGCGGGAGGGAGAGGAGCTGTCGAACCTGGGGGAAACATGGGGAGAGAGAGACAGCTCAGAGGGAGGGAAGGATGGAGAAAGAGAGAAAGAGAGAGAGAGAGAGAGACAGCTCAGAGGGAGGGAAGGATGGAGAAAGAGAGAGAAAGAGAGAGAGAGAGAGAGAGAGACAGCACAGAGGGAGGGAAGGATGGAGAAAGAGAGAGAAAGAGAGAGAGAGAGAGAGACAGCACAGAGGGAGGGAAGGATGGAGAAAGAGAGAGAAAGAGAGGAGAGAGAGAGACAGCACAGAGGGAGGGAAGGATGGAGAAAGAGAGAGAGAGACAGAGAGAGAGAAAGAAGGAGATGAAGAGAGTGAAAGAAGAGCAGTCCTACACAATAAAGCTTATAGATTGTTAAGAAAATGTAGCAAAGCACACCTCTAACCTTGCCATTATTAATGATATAGCAGGGCCACTCATACATTATTTCTTCAGCGAATTGTCTGTACTGTCTAAGAGAACAATGAACCCAGCCCTCCATTCTATTCTTTACATTTCCTCTAGTAACTTTGCCAGTTCTCCTCACCAAGAGTCCTTGAGAGCGGCCAGAGATTTCTATGTGTTGTACGAGTCTCGATTCACCTGTATCCTTCTCTCCCTACAGTCGGTCTCTCGCGCTCGCTTTCATCTGTAGCACTGCCTCTCTCTCTCTCTCTGTCTGTCATCCAGACCACTCTCTTGCTCACTTACTCTTTTTCAATTCCAATCGGTATCTACCATCACATCGGTGTCCATGTCCCTGCCCATCTTCGTCTTTAAATGGAATACACACACACACAATACATATGCAATGATTCATCTAGTGAGGCCACTGACCGACTCCTTCTGCGTCCAGATTTCTTCTTCTTCCTCTTCTTTGGTTGAGGAGATGGAGAGCTGCTAGATTTCCTCGTCATTCTATGGTAGCAGAGAGAGAGAAAAAATAGAAATTACAGAGTTGGGGGGAAGGTGTTCAGTGAGTGAAACATACAAGCGTTTGTCATTACAGTAATCTTCAGTCACAAATACATTGATCAGCTACAGGCAAGATATTTTCCAGGGGAGCAAGCTTAATTTCCTCTGAGTGCTGTAACAATCCATACTTCATACTGCCTATGGCAATCTGGCATACAATTATTACTTTCTGGGAAAATCTCATTCTGATAATACAATCTAATTAATCCCTGGTGTATTGGCTATACTTCAAAAGACAAACAACAATGTAGTGTAGTGTATGTCAGAATGCCCTGTACTCAGTGTGTGTGTGTGTGCATTCTGAAGGCTATGACACTTGGTCTGAAGACCCCTCTTCAACTGTATCTAATCTGCATATACACTACATGACCAAAAGTATGTGGACATCTCATTCCAAAATCATGGGCATTCATGTGGAGTTGGTCCCCCCTTTGCTGCTATAACAGCCTCCACTCTTCTGGGAAGGCTTTCCACTAGATGTTGGAACATTGTTGCGGGGACTAGCTTCCATTCAGTCACAAGAGCATTAGTGAGGTCGGGCACTGATGTTGGCCGATTAGGCCTGGCTCACAGTCAGCGTTCCAATTCATTCCAAAGGTATTTGATGGGGTTGAGGTCAGGGCTCTGTGCAGGCCAGTCAAGTTCTTCCACACCGATCTCAACAAACCATTTCTGTATGGACCTTGCTTTGTGCACGGGGGCATTGTCATGCTGAAACAGGAAAGGGCCTTCCCCAAACTGTTGCAACAAAGTTGGTTGCACAGAATCGTCTAGAATGTAATTGTATGCTGTAGCGTTAAAATGTCCCTTCACTGGAACTAAGGGGCCTAGCCCGAACTATGAAAAACAGCCCCAGACCATTATTCCTCCTCCACCAAACTTTACAGTTGGCACTATGCATTAGGGCAGGTAGCGTTTTCCTGGCATCCGCCAAACCCAGATTTGTCAATCGGACTACCAGATGGCGATGCGTGATTCATCACTCCAGAGAACGCGTTTCCACTGCTCCAGATTCCAATAGCGGCGAGCTTTACACTACTCTAGCCAACGCTTGGCATTGAGCATGGTGATCTTAGGCTTGTGTGCGGCTGCTCGGCCATGGAAACACATTTCATGAAGCTCCCGACGAACAGTTATTGTGCTGACGTTGCTTCCAGAGTCAGTTTGGAACTCGGTAGTGAGTGTTGCAACCCGAGGACAGAAGATTTTTCTTCAGCATTCGCCGGTCCCGTTCTGTGAGCTTGTGTGGACTACCACTTTGCGGCTGAGCCGTTGTTGCTCCTAGAAGTTTCACTTCACAGTAACAGCACTTACAGTTGACCGGGGCAGCTCTAGCAGGGCAGAAATCTGACGAACTGACTTGTTGGAAAGGTGGCATCCTATGACAGTGCCACGTTGAAAGTCACTGAGCTCTTCAGTGAGGCCATTCTACTGCCACTGTTTGTCTATGGAGATTGCATGGCTGTGTGCTCGATTTTATACACCTGTCAACAACGGGTGTGGCTGAGATAGCCGCATCCACTAATATGAAGGGGTGTCCACATACTTTTGTATATATAGTGTATGTGAAACGTCAAAGGCCACATGGAGAGGATGAGGTAGAGGTTGATTCGATTTCTCTCTCAAGAGTTTCTGTGTGTGTGTGTGTGTGTACCGCAGACCTTAATCGCTGACAGCATGGACTACATCCTCTCTGGAGGGCTTGGAGGTAAGCTCCTGTACTGGCAGGCCACCCACCTCTGCTCTCCTATCTGTGGCACACATGTGCTGTGTAGGAGCAGTGTATGGGACAGGCACAGTAAATAATATCATATTATGTATTATTGTAATCAGTAGACTTTAGGAAAAACGCATATAGCTTCTCTAGAGTGTAAAAGGTTACTTTGTATTTAATACACCCCTTTGAAAGTGAAAATGGAGGTACATTTCGCCAGCCCGGCTGAAATGGAACTATATCAGGTTTTGGTCAGCGAGTGTGTGTGTGTGATTGTGTTTTTGTGTGTGTGCGTACATGCAAATGTAAGTGTGTGTGTGTACTATACATGTGTGTGTATGAGTGAGAATACGTGTGGTTGTTCCATACCTATAACCGTCTTTATCATAGTAGTCTCCATGGCAGTCTCCGTCCTCCTGGTAACCTTCAGCCAGGGCTGGGTCGGTCTCCTCCTCACCATGCTCTCCATGGACCATGTGTTTGACCCTACAGGGAAAACACAGGTCAGAGGTCAGAGGTCACTGGAAGCAGCCAACGGGAGACCAGGGACCAGGAAGTGGATGTATGTGTGGTAAAAAGGACAAGAACTGAGGAACGCTGCGGCTGCATGCGGCTCAGAACGACTCCAAAAATAAACCCTATATTCAAAACAAACGCCATCTCTCCCACTCACACATGCAGATGTCTGTGTTGTACGCCTACTCCCCCCATCCATTTCCCTTCCTAGCCTGTACCATGAGCCCTCTAGTGATCCATCACATCTGTCCAAAACAGTACACCCACACAGAGAGAGGGGGGATATGCTCCAGGAACACACACACACCTACAGTTGAAGTCGGAGGTTTACATACACCTTAGCCAAATACATTTAAACTCAGTTTTTCACAATTCCTGACATTTCATCCTAGTAAAAATTCCCTGTCTTAGGTCAGTTAGGATCACCACTTTATATTAAGAATGTGAAATGTCAGAATAATTGTAGAGAGAATGATTTATTTCAGTTTTTATTTATTTAATCACATTCCCAGTGGGTCAGAAGTTTACATATACTCAATTCGTATTTGGTAGCATTGCCTTTAAATTGTTTAACTTGGGTCAAACACTTCGGGAAGCCTTCCACACGCTTCCCACAATAAGTTGGTTGAATTTTTTGTGAAGTGCACCAGTCCCTCCTTCAGCAAAGCACCCCCACAGCATGATGCTGCCACCCCCATGCTTCACGGTTGGGATGGTGTTCTTCGGCTTGCAAGCGTTCCCCTTTTTCCTCCAAACATAACGATGGTCATTATGGCCAAACAACAGTTCTATTTTTGTTTCACCAGACCAGAGGACAGACCAGAGGACTTTTCTCAAAAAAGTACAATCTTTGTCCCCATGTGCAGTTGCAAACCGTAGTCTGGCTTTTTTATGGCGGTACCTTCAGGCATTTGGAAATTGCTCCCAAGCATGAACCAGACTTGTGGAGGTCTACAATTCTTGTTATGAGGTCTTGGCTGATTTATTTTGATTTTCCCATGATGTCAAGCAAAGGGGCAGTGAGTTTGAAGGTAGGCCTTGAAATACATCCACAGGTACACCTCCAATTGACTCAAATGATGTCAAGAAGCTTATAAAGCCCATGACATCATTTTCTGGAATTTTCCAAACTGTTTAAAGGCACAGTCAACTTAGTGTATGTAAACTTCTGACCCATTGGAATTGTGATACAGTGAATTATAAGTGAAATAATCTGTCTGTAAACAATTGTTGGAAAAATGACTTGTGTCATGCACAAAGTAGATGCCCTAACCGACTTGACAAAACTATAGTTTGTTAACCAGAAATGTGTGGAGTGGTTGAAAAACGAGTTTTAATGACTCCAACCTAAGTGTATGTAAACTTCCGACTTCAACTGTACACACACGCATATGAGGGGTGATAAATGCCATAAATTAACCGTTGAACGTGTGAACGCATGAACATGTGTTTATTTTATTATTATAAAAATTACCATTCAACCAAGTTTATTTATTACAACAACACGTGAACGTCTGATTCATTCAATTCCAAACAGCTGTGTTAATGGAATTCACTCCACAATATAATATCCACTGTAATAAATGGACCCCTGCACTGTTTATCATCTGTCAAGGTGGGGGTTTATAATGCCTGTATATAAACACAACACATGAACCACTTTATAACATTGTTTATTGGGTCTACGTTAATTAGGTAAATGTAAAAAATGAATTGACCTGTTCGTTCATGTTAGGCTATTACATAAGCTATGAAGCGGGAACATATAGCAACATTCCATTACATTTGTGAGTTGAAACATGTTTGAATCTTTCTTATTAATAATCTTGTCACAATTGTTTGTGTGTGAGGGGTTGAGGCGGCAGGTTGAGGCAGTTGAGGCGGCAGGTAGCCTAGTGGTTAGAGCATCGGGACAGTAACTGAACGGTCACTGGTTCGAATACTGACGAAGTGAAAAATCTGTCGATGTGTCCTTGAGCAAGGAACTTAACCCTACTACTATGGCTGACCCTGTAAAACAACATATATCCCTGCACCTATCCTGTGTTTGTGACAATTAAAACATTTGTATTTTTTTTGCAATGAAGGGGTGAGGGGTCCCTTTCGTAGCTATGCTCGTTTAGGAGAGGAGGGCAGCAAACCTGTTAATTGTCTGAGCACCGCTGAGCACAATACGGTAACGCATAACAACCAAATATGAAATAACCACACACACCACACACCTTAGAGATAGATGCATGCCCTGGTCTAATTTAGTTAGACAGGTATGATCATTTTAAGCCTGAAATCATCTGAAGAGGTTTCAAATCAGTGAAAACAAGAACACCCTTGAAAGCTGAAGGGGATGGAAATAGACAAACAGCTGTGATTATTAAGTAGTGTTGGTGTTAGAGAGAGTTCAACATCAGAGTTAAGAAGAATGGGGATGGATGCTCTGGGTTTTCAATGTACAATAAAAAATAAAGGTGCAAGTTGGAACCAAATAAGGTTCTTGAGAACGATGCCATAGGGCAGGGGTGTCAAACTCATTCCACAGAGGGCCGAGTGTCTGTGGGTTTTCGCTCCACCCTTGTACTTGATTGATGAATTAAGGTCACTAATTATACTGAACAAAAATATAAACACAACATGTAAAGTGTTGGTCGCAGGTTTCATGAGCTGAAATAAAAGATCCCAGAAATGTTCCATTCGCACAAAAAGATTTACATCCCTATTAGTGAGCATTTCTCCTTTGCCAAGATAATCCATCCACCTGACAGGCGTGGCATATCAAGAAGCTGATTAAACAGCATGATCATTACACAGGTGCACCTTGTGCTGGGGACAATAAAAGGCCACTCTAAAATCTGCAGTTTTGTCACACAACACAATGCCACAGATGTCTCAAGTTTTGAGGGAGCATGCAATTGGCATGCTGACTGCAAGAATGTCCACCAGAGCTGTTGCCAGATAATTTAATGTTAATTTCTCTACCATAAGCTGCCTCCAACGTCGTTTTAGAGAATTTGGCAGTACGTCCAACCAGCCTCACAACCACAGACCACGTGTAATCACGCCAGCCCAGGACCTCCACATCTGGCTTCTTCACCTGTGGGATCGTCTGAGACCAGCCAACCAGACAGCTGATGAAACTGAGGAATATTTATGTCTGTAATAAAGCCCTTTTGTGGGGAAAATCATATTCTGATTGGCTGGGCCTGGCTCCCCAGTGGGTGGGCCTGGCTCCCAATTGCACATCTAGCATTCCAGTGTTAATAGTAATTGTAATTATTTTGCACTATAGCCTATTTATTGCCTTACCTCCATAACTTGCTACATTTGCACACACTGTATATATATATTTTCTGTTATATTTTTTGACTTTATGTTTTTTTTACCCCATTTGTAACTCTGTGTTGTTGTTTTTATCGCACTGCTTTGCTTTATCTTGGCCAGGTCGCAGTTGTAAATGAGAACTTGTTCTCAACTGGCTTACCTGGTTAAATAAAGGTGAAATAAATAAATAAAAATAAAGTGGGTGGGCCTATGCCCTCCAAGGTCCACCCATGGCTGCGCCCCTGCCCAGTCATGTGAAATCCATAGATTAGGGCCTAATTTATTTATTTCAATTGATTGATTTCCTTATATGAACTGTAACTCCGTAAAATCGTTGAAATTGTTGCGTTTATATTTTTGTTCAGTATAGTAAGGAACTACCCTCACCTGGTTGTCTAGGTCTTAATTGAAAGGAAAAACCAAAAACCCGCAGAGACTCTGCCCTCCTTGGAGTTTGACACCCCTGCCATAGGGGAACCATTTTAGGGTCTCTGAAGCAGTGTTAATTTTGGCACTCTTTTAGTTTTTTGTCTAGTCTTAGTCATTTCACTAAAATAGTATTATGTCTTAGTCACATTTTTGTCATTTGAATAATGATTTAGTCTAGTTATTGTCAAAATGACGAAAACTGTGGGCCATTTTAGTAAACCAAATGCCCTTTCATTTTAGTCACATTTTAGTCACATCACATTTGTATTACCTCATTAACCTATAGTAAACATAAATCACTGACTTCCATGTGCACAAACATACATACCCTTGTCCTACCAACAGATTGTTCTGCATAACATCCTATTCTCTTCCCAACAGCAAAAATATGACAAACATATATAAGAGTATATAAGAATTCAGCCTACATAGATATTGCACATTACATACAAAACAAACAGACACACAAGCAGAGAGAGAGAGAGAGAGAGCGAGAGAGCGAGAGCGAGAGCGAGAGCGAGAGAGAGAGAGAGAGAGAGAGAGAGAGAGAGAGAGAGAGAGAGAGAGAGAGAGAGATGTTCCTATCCTACCATCCCCTGAGCTCAGGCTGAAATCAATGGAGGAGCATGTTGGAACTGAGATATGAGGAACACTTGGCAGTAGGGATAAAGACTGTCAAGTGGTGGTAGTTATTGCTTGTTCTGCAGAATCTGTGCGTGTTCTTCCTGGTCAGAATCACTAATGAGGAAGGCTTTTTGCTGGGCTCTGATCATGATTGTTCAATGAAGAGCAGACATTATGGCCTATGGGAGCAGAAGCATTCTGCTGGTCCTGCATGAAACAACAGACAAGCAAATTGCTGCTACTGCACTCTACTGCTCCTTATCCCCATGGAAACCACAGGAGGAAGTTATAAAGTACCTCCGGATTTAATTTATATTATGGCTGAAAATGATAACTGACCAAAAGCCCTGGCTCATTCAGAGTGTGTGTGTCTGTGTGTGTGTGTGTGTGTTCGTGTTGTGGCTCAGTTGGTAAAGCATGGCACTTGCAACGCCAGGGTTGTGGGTTTGATTCCCACGGGGGATCAGTATGAACAAATATGAAAATGTATGCACTCACTACTGTAAGTCGCTCTGGATAAGAGCGTCTGCTAAATGACTAAAATGTGTGTGTGAGAAAACACAGAGAGTCAGTAAACTTGGCTCAAAGGAGCAACTATTTTGCTAATTGCTACCCTCCTGTCTCAATTTTCCACAACGAGGCTTTCCTGAGCTCTGAATGCCGCAGAAGGGAGAACTATGTCCATGCCTCAGGAACAGGGCCAAATTCACATCTGAGAGACGAGTTTCCACCACAAGTTCCTTCCCTCCCCCCCTCTGTAAGAGTTGATGCATAGGCAAACGTCAGCTCACAGCCAAGGTGACAATGCATGCCAGGGAGACAATGCATGCCAGGGAGACAATGCATGCCAGGGAGAGACAGTCATTAGTCAGCCCTCTGTGATGATACGGGGCATCAGAACCATTACAGATCATTAGCTCTGTGGCGGGACGACAGGACTGGAGATCCTGATCTGATAGGCCTATAAAAGAGGAAGGGTGCTCTGAGATGGGACTGGAGTCCCTAAACAGATACCGGCTGACTAGCTCACACAGAGGAGGACAACACACAAAGATGATGACAGACCTAGTAGTCAGTGATAACCATCTGGCTCATATTCTATTTCAATTGATGCATGGGGACATAGGGAAGGGCCAGAGGGGATATTTAACTGAAAATACATGTAGAGATATGATGTGGGTTGGCGTGTGTGTGTTTGTGTGTGTGTGAAGAAGGGAGAGAGAGAGAGAGAGAGAAAGCGTGGTAACAGAGACAGATATATAGAGAAAGAGAGAGCAACAGAGAGATACGGAAGAGAGTGTGACTTACGGTGGGCGTGTGTGCGCTCCCTCTCTGGTGATCACCCCCTCTTTCTCCATCAGCATCTGTCTGAAGGTGCCGACCTTCTGCCTGATCTCCTCCTCAGAGTACCTACAGGAGAGAACACACGCTCAGTGGGAGGAGAGCAACAGCACACTCAAGACACCAGATGACTGATACACACACGGAGACACGCACAGAGACACACACAGTCGCAGGCACGCACGCGCACAGCATATGTTTTACTATCCTTGAGGGGACCTAAAATGGATCCTATCAAAATCCTATTTTCCCTAAACCTGTAAGCTTAAAATAGCCTTTGTCCTCGTAGGCATGTCCCCACGAGCGAGAATTTTCCTTGTTTTACTATCCTTGTGGAGACTTCTGGTACCCATGAGGATAGCAACACACGCACACACGGTTGATTTACTCAGTGGAGCAGTGCAGACAGGGCAGGACTCAAAGATATATTTGCAAGGCAGTGAGGAGGAGTGATGTCTAACTGTCATGGCGAAGGCAAAATACGAGAACCACTAAGTGTTAGTGCAGACAGGAGATGAGTGTAGCATCACACACACACGGCTAGTCATTTTAAATATCACACGTCTCCCGTCCAATCAGAGAGCGCAGCGAGGCTTACCGCCATCTGTCACAACGGGTGTTCGTGTGTGTAACATCACGTCATCTCCAAACGGGGGGAATAAATGTACAGCTTGACAAGAAGGGGATAAGATGGCTGGCCAGGAACCATATGTGGTGGAATGTGTTTCCCTCAGTATGTTTTCATTGACACACGACACGACTGGGGAAAGGAAATGCAGATGATTCACTGTGCCAGCTCAACTTGAAATCTCCCTAGTCCTTCCTTCAGGCCCCTGTGTGTGTGTGTGTGTGTGTGTGTGTGTGTTTGTGTGTGTGTGTGCGCACGTGAGAGAGAGATGATTCGCTGTGTGTGTGCATGCGTGCGTGTGTCAGATGATTCGCTTTGCTGGCTCTAGATATATCACCAATTCCCCAGAGTCCTTCCTTGATGCCCCTTTCTACATTCCATTGTTTTATTCTGACAGCATAAGTAGGGGTGGAGCTCACTAGAAACCCCTGCGGTACACTACACATCAATACACTCAATCCTGTTAGCCAGCATTGGCTAGAATCCTGTGGACCACTATCATGTGGGGGTGAAACTCATAGATTGACATATTAGTAATTGAATAGGATCTCTGTGGTGAAACTCATGTCAATGTCGTCATATACGTATGCTTCATGTTAGAAGAACCTGAGTGGAATAATTGCCCATTGAATGGATGTTTTGTGGCCAAGTTCACTAGAGCAGTACTAGATATACTGTATTTGTATGTGGGTGGAAAACAAGCTCTGTTTCTCAGAGTAGCTTCGTAAACAAACCCGTTCAGACATTACCACTGACAACCGCTCCAATGTCCACACACAGATTGTACACTTCTGGACGGAGTCATGACTCCCTGCCAGTTAGTTCTGTTGGAGGCCTGCCAGAAGAACACAGAGCACACTGTCTGAGAAGGAAAACTGTTGCAGCACGGAGGAACTAGGTCGGACTCAACTCAAGGTCAAACGCAGAGAGCTGTGGAAGCAATGAAAGAACACTGTATGATTCCTATTGTTCAATATCTTATCTTTTAGCATTTGTCAATCTGATACTTAGCATTTTACAACCAATCATAGAAGCAACATGCGCTCTCTATCAGTTGTTTCAATGGCACTATCCTTCTCTGTGGGTGTAGCAAAAGCTGCCGAACTGAACACGCTGCGGGAGCTGTCCACTGGTGGTCGGTGCTGAAACACATTCCCACTCAGTAAAAGTAAGGCACTCGGACTGAAAAGAACTTGTGCTTGTGTATTTTGTTAGTGATTCATTCCAAATAAGGTGTAATGGAGACTTTGTCCTAATCTAATCCCAGAGTGGACCAACTAGGCCTTTCGATCCTACTCTCAGATTAAGAGATAATGCTCTGAAGTCAAGCGTGAGTGTTATTGACACTTTGGGGTTTTATTCACCCCCTCGCCACTGAATCACTGCTGGATTGTGATGATATCTAACATCACGTTCCAATTCTAAAAGGAATTCATGATTGATTGTTTCCACTTCTATCTCAGGGTGTTTGGTGATTAGCTAAAGCATGGTCCCGTGTAGCTCAGTTGGTAGAGCATGGCGCTTGCAACACCAGGGTTGTGGGTTCGATTCCAACGGGGGGCCAGTATGAAAAATGTATGCACTCACTAACTGTAAGTTGCTCTGGATAAGAGTGTCTGCTAAATGACTAAAATGTAAAAGAGCCCCTATTTGTTCATTGCCAGTAAGTCACGGCACCAATTCCAGTAATTAATAGCAGTTGTCTGAACCAGACCAGAAAGCTGTGTAGGTGCTGTTTCCATTTATCCCAGAATTGCCCAGTACCGCGGCTAGGGACAGGAGATTAAGGTAGTGGTCTGACAGAACAGAAACAGCCCAGTGTGACATCACTGCTAGTCACTCCCTGCTCTACTGTAATCTCTGTGTGTGTGTGACACCACCCCAGTCACTCCCTGCTGTATAGCAATTTCTCAGCCTAGCAGGGCTGTCAGCCACATTTTAGTCATTTAGCAGACGCTCTTATCCAGAGCGACTAGGGTTAAGTGCCTTGCTCACGGGCACATCGACAGATTTTTCACCTAGTCGGCTCGGGGATTAGAACCAGCAACCTTTCGGTTACTGGCACAACAGCTCTTAACCACTAAGCTACCTGCTGCCCCATAGGTAATGTTACTGTACTGTGTTTGTGTGCATCACTGTAGTCACTAGACATATCTATACTATGTCTGGGTGTGGGCTCTACAGTGTGTTCTACCCTATTGTGCCTTGACAGTGCTATAAGAAGAGGGAGGGGATGAAAAGCCTTAAAATAGAAGAGATCTCCCACACCACAACAAAATGCTTGGCTTTAGTTCACACTTCACTGTCCTGATGATAGCAGGCTGAGATATGTTAACGCTTGACACTCGCTCTGTTTACTGACAACTAGTGTAAAGACATAAACAAAGTGTCAGACTCACAACCCTAAGCTATAAAAGCTCTGTTGAACGGATGGTTATAGTGTACTGTAATGTCCTCCTCCTCCCCTCTTCTCCTATTCCTCCCCTGGCCTCCTCCACCACCGTCTTGTGATGGAAAATGTTACGTTTGTGCTTTTCAAAGAACCAATTTCTGTGTTCATGCAAGTGACTGATTGAAGGAATCCTCACTATCAGTATCTGCAATTTGGCAGTACGCCCAGAACCTTGTTTTGAGAACGAAAGGATACCTCAGTTTCAAGGTCTCAGCTTGGAGAGAAGAAGCCTTGTGAGGTATTGGTCGGTCACATGCATGAACCAAACGTTAATGGTGAATTAATTATGAATGATGACTAAGCTAAATCATGCAAATATAACTTGTCTGTGTAAGCAGTATAAAAGAGAACTAACGGGACTGCCCCGGCAGAGCTCACTTCAGAACGGTACTTTATGCATCTAAGTTTGACTGTGACCTCTCCAGCTTGCTGTTAATAAACAATGATTAATTTAAGATTGACTTCGAATTTCCACGACACTCTCCTCCTCTTCCTCCCCCTCTTCATCCTCCTCCTCCTCCTCCTCTTCCTCCCCTCTCTGGATTCCTCTCACGTGATTTTGTTGCGCAGCCAAGCCTAAAGTCAGACAGCAAGCCCTCCGTTCTCCCTGATTGGTCTACCCTGCGGGATGGTCTGAGGGGATTGGTTAACCATGGAGGGTGGGCATACGCTTAACGGTGCGTGTAATGGCCGTGGTTTTACAACAGCACTGGGGATGAGGTTGATGTGCTGTGGATCTACTGACCAGAAGATTCCAGGCCTCTCTGCAGAGGTTGTGCATTTTGTTTAATATTTTTTCTCTCTTCTTTTCAGACACAAATGTAACAGTATTCCTTCCGTCGCTCTCCTCGCCCCAACCTGGGCTTGAACCAGGGACCCTCTGCACACGTCGACAACAGTCGCCCTCAAAGCATCGCTACCTATCGCTCCACAAAAACTGTGGCTCTTGCAGAGGAAGAGAAACAACTACTTCAAGGACTCAGAGCAAGTGACGTCACTGATTGAAATGCCACTAGCTCGCACCGCTAACTAGCCAGCCATTTCCCACCAGTTACACAAAGATCAATCAAATCCTATTTGTCACATGCGCCGAATACAACAGGTGTAGACTTTACTGTGAAATGCTTTCGAGCCCTTTCCCAACAATGCAGAGTTAAAAAAAGATAAATTGGCAAATAAGAAAAAAATAGGAAATAGTAACAAAATAAAATAACAATAACAAGGCTATTTACAAAGAGTACCAGTACCGAGTCAATGTGCAGGGGTACACCTCTTTTCTAAAAAAGAGCAATCTAAATGTATCCATGGTAAACTAGAGCCCATCCACAGACAAATAGCTACTGGGAATGATTCAGTACAGTTCTGTAATGCAACAAAATCTGTCTTTTCTGGGTCTCTCAGATGCGAGATTGATTTTTGAGTTGCATTAGAGTGGTAAAAATCTATTAAAAAATCAAAATCAATGTGCATAAATGGTGATGTATTGAGTTTTTTTCCCCAGGCGCTATTAGTGGACGAGCAGCCAAACTTCACATCTCTGATCCTGTCTGTTAATTAGTGCTGTTGTGGGGGTTAAACGTCACTGATTTACACACACACACACACACGCACACACACACACCTGTTTAAATGAATGTTAACCTGAGCGTGGAGAGGTTGTGTGTGTGAGTATGTGTATGTGGGGTGGCAGGTAGCTTAGTGGGTAAGAGCGTTGTGCCAGTAACCGAAAGGTCGCTGGTTCTAATCCCCGAGCCGACTAGGTGAAAAATCTGTCGATGTGCCCTTAAGCAAGGCACTTAATCCTAATTGCTCCTGTAAGTCGCTCTGGATAAGAGTGTCTGCTAAATGACTAAAATGTAAATGTAAAATGTAATGTGTCCATACAGTAGAGAGTCAGCAGCGATAGAGACGCTAAATGAGATGGGGGCCATTTTGCCAGCCCCATTACCCTCAACATACACAGTCACAGTGACCGACTGGGGCATACTGT